AAGTTCTGTTAATTGGTTCCTGCTGTTTTTGCGTTTAAGTTTGGTTTAATTGATATTGTTGATGCATGTCGATGCCTTATAAATGTTATGGGATATAGATTAAACACTGGAACAAGTATTAAAAGAATTACAGAGGATTGGGAATCGCCCGAGGCGAGGAAGACAAAACAGAACCGAGAAACGGCCTAAGAGAGTGAGAGAGCAGGCTCCCAAAAGGAGGGAGCCAGCTCCCTCATTGATGGAGCCAGCTCCAAGGGGTGTGAAGCCTACTCCTAACATTTAAGAGCAGGCTCCAATGTAAATGGTGCAGGCTCTCAATTTATGAGAGCCTGCTCTCGCCCGAAACGCACAGTTTTGGTCTTTTTAGGGGCTGTTAGGGGTGTCCGGAGTATTTTTAATCCGTTTAAATTGCACTGAATGATGTAATTAATTGTGATGGACCTTTGAAAATATTAGGAAGCATTATCACATTAGTGTATTAAAGAATGAAGTAACATGAAGATAAAGAAAAGCTTACATGTTGAGCACTATTTTGTTAAGTTGTTTGCTTACTGAAACTTATCAAATCTTTCGCATATGATTTAATAATATTTAATCATATTTCAACAATGTTATAAGGGTGATGGAATACTGGCAATTAACTAGGCTTGGTTTGGATTAAATTGATATTTAATTTATTAAAAACGGTATCAATTTCTGGACTGTTTGGAGGATTTAATTACTTACTATAATGCTAGCATTTTGTGTATGTATGATTAAACAGTATTAATCATGTTTAAGCACTGAAATAAGCATAATTGATTAACTGAAACTGTAGTATGCTTATATGGAGTTAATTGATGTTTTAACGGTTTAAATTGCATCAACTGTTGGATTTATGGATTGTTATGAAATTTACTTTTAAGAATTTCACTATAATGTGTTCAGTAACGATTATAATTATTATTATATTGTTCTGAATTATAATTGATGAACTACTTGTACTGTTTTGTCAATTGCTGGATTGATTGTGTATGTATGCATCGATATGGGACGGTGGCATATTAGGGACGGATTAGTTCAAAATACTGAGTCCTACCTATTCTGAAATAAGTTAGATTAACTATAAAAGTTAAGTCCTACTTATATGTATATATATGCACCGGTATGGAACGGTGACATATTAGGGATGGTTTAGTTCAAAACACTAAGACCTACCTATTCTGGGGATGGATTAGTTCAAAACACTAAGTCCTACCTATTCTGATGTAAGGTGGATTAACTATAAAAGTTAAGTCCTACTTATATATATAACAGGTCAATAAACATTTGAATGTTATACCTTGAATGGATTATATATATATATATATATCGTTATGGTACTGTGATATGAGCTTGAGTCTCAGAATCATGGTTAGGTAGCGTATATCGCCTAGGATGGATAATTGGACATAGTTGTTATTCCTTGGTAGGTCTAGGTATACATGACCACGTTACATGCAATTTGCATGTTACCTTCTATTCAGACTGAGACTGCACTATAGCCTAGTGAGCGTTCTATAATGTGTATTTATATCTATATGATAGGGGTGGCAATATTTGACACGACACGCTAACACGACACGAGATAAGCGGGTTAGGGTTTGGGTTAATCGTGTTCGTGTCATAATCGTGTCGACACGAATTGACCCGTTAATTAAACGTATCGTGTTCGTATTTGACCCTATAAATACGATTATGACACGATTAACCCGATTAACTAAACGTGTCAGATAAACGTGTCGTGTTCGTGTAAAAAATGACCCATTTAACAAAATATGTCGTATTCGTGTCGAAAATGACTTAAATGTGTTTTTTTTCGAGTCGTGTCAAATCTTGACCCATTTATTAAACAGGTTATGCGTGTCGTGTCGTGTTACACATATAATAATTGTGTTGTGTTCGTGTCAATAGTCTTAGATACGATTAATAATCGTGTCGTGTTCGTGTCAACCCTAATCGTGTCCGTGTCGTAATCGTGTCGACACAAACACGACACGCCAACACGAATTGCCACCCCTACTATATGGACTACTTTAATTATTATTGAGCTATCTAGGATGTATCTGCGTATCGGGTTTTTGTATGGATTGTAGTAGGATAGGACTTGCATGTGGGCCTGACCCACTCCCTTATTTTTCATGTGTTCGTTACTTCCAGGGTTAAAGCTTGATTGTGCAGAGCAAATACTCCTCCGACTACATAGGACTGCTTTCTATGTTTCGCTTTAGATTTTATTACAATTGTTTCCTTTTCAGCGTAGGATTTGGATAGGGGTCCACTAGATGGATTCCCGAGTTGTACAGATATTGGAAAGTTTGGAATTTATATTAACTTATAAATTTTGAGGATTTTATAATTAGAATTCTTTTCAGTTTATTATTTTATTCTTATTTTATTTTAGTATTCTGTACTTATTTACATATTAATTGTCTGGTATCTCTCGGATCTGTGCTCGGACTTGATTACCCGTGACTCTATAATCGAGGGATATCACAAGGAAGAGCAAATCGGCGGATACTTGCCGGAGAGTGGCGTGCTCTTCGTTAACCTTTTGACCGGAGGATTGGATGCCAGCGGCGTTGTTGAGGTCGACGCAGGAGTTCCAGAGGCGGTAGCTGAGTTTCCATATTTGGAGCTTGACCAAGTTCGGGAATAGAAAGAGTGAACTCAGCTGAGTCAGTCTGAGTCGAAGGTTGGATAAGAGAGCCTCCGACAAAGGAGCTCCCGGCAAATAGCTTTCGAGTTCTCTGATAAAGGACTCGATTTGTGAGAGTACGTGAGATTGGGGTTCGTGGATGCTCGGACGGAAATCCGGCGACGATAGCTCTGAGATTTTCATTTTTGGCGGGAAATTGAATCCGAAAAACTGAAAAGAGAGGGCATGGGATCTTTTGGGATCTTTTGTTTTTCATTAAATAGGTATGATAGTATTCCGAGCAGATCCTCGCCGCCATCACCGATCCTCGCCGCCATCACCGTTGAATAAAAAATAGGCAAGGTTATAATATCTAATTATATAGGCAAGGTTATTTTCTACATTTCATAAAAAATAGTAGCTAATGTCATCATTTTCCGTCGTTGATTGCCGTTGACTATAACAGAAGGAGGTCCGTGTAGAATATTTTAAAAAATAGGAGAGGTCTCCGTAATTTTCAAAACAGGAAAGGTGCTGCCTGTAATTATGGCAAATCATAGGGGAGTCCTGTGTAAATTACCCTATATATATATATATATATATATATATATATATATATATATAAGATCAGAATTCCTCACTTTCTCTCTCTAAATTATTCAACCGGCGACCAGATTGCAGATCTTTCCAGTTGAATCTCAACAGATCAAGTTCTGTGAATCCATGGTAGTCTTGTTATGCATATTTTATTTCCCTGTTCATTTTTCAAAAAATTTGTCTCAGATCAAGCAAGTCTTGATCGATTTGTTATTTGAGTTTGTTATCATTCCATTAAAGCATTGTGAGAAAGAATTGTTCTGTGTTAGCTCTCGCCCATGAAAGATTGGGACTTTTCTTTGTGAAATTCTCCAACTATTGGTTCAATTCTTAGGTTGTGTAGTATTAATGTCACTGGATTGGTCTGAGTTTTCAATTTTTTTCTTCCAATCAATACTTTCAACTTCTGGGTTTTTTCGTTCATCCATTCTCTGGTTGAGATTGGTGTCATCCTTTTCGGAATCGAAATCATCTTGGTTTTGTTATGTTATTATTCTGATAAAATCTCAAGAGACTGATAAAATCTTAATAACCGGATCATATTTTCCGGCGAGAATGCATACGTCACGGTAGTGCAGGGATGGGTTAATTTTTATTGAAGAAATTATTAATCTCTATTGAATAAATGGTACGGTAGGCGATCTGGGATTAAATGGGTTAATTTTTATCCCGGATCATATTAGTTTTCTTATTTTCATATATATACCTATACAATTACACAATCGCCTACAGTAGAGATATATAAGAGATATTGCCGGAGACCATGGGCAGGATGTTTTTTGGAGATAAATGGTACAGTAGACGTCGCCGTGCTTGTAGAGGCGAGCACTGGCCAACGCCGCCGCTGGATCTACCCATGCCCCTACTACAGCCGACACTGATTTTTTGGCAAAAATCTCGCCATCATCGGAGACCGGTCGCTTCTTTCAGGCGAAAACAACATTATTATGGTTGCCTGCTTCTGCCATTAATGTTATAGATATATGTGTGTGTGTGTAGAGAGATAGAAAAAGACAGAGGAGTTTGGAAGCTTCTGTGGAATTGAAGTTAGAGGTGAATTTGATTTGGGTGAGAGGGAGACCGGTCGCTTCTTTCAGGCGAAAACAACATTATTATGGTTGCCTGCTTCTGCCATTAATGTTATAGATATGTGTGTGTGTGTGTGTGTGTAGAGAGATAGAAAAAGACAGGAGTTTGGAAGCTTCTGAGGAATTGAAGTTAGAGGTGAATTTGATTTAGAGGTGAATTTGATTTGGGTGAGAGGGTGATTCCCCCCCCCCCCCCGCCCCCCCCCCCCCGATTTGGGTGGGTGAGAGGGTGATTACCCCCCCCCCCCCCCCCCCCCGGCTCTCTCTATCTATGTATATATATGTAATGGCTTTTTTTCTTTTCTTTTCTTTTTTTAGTTCATCTTCCGGAAAGGAAAAAAATAAACCATGGGTTTTTTCTTGGGTTTTATCTGGTTAGGGTGTCATCTTATGCTGTTTCTTATTTTGAGACTGTTTCTGGGGTCTTGATTGTTGGGACCCATGTATTTTGGTTCGTCATGATATATGGTTATAAATTCTTATATCTGTTTTTAGTAAAATCCATCATCTTCTTTTTTTACCTAACAAGAATCCTACTTGAAATCTCAATATTGAAAAATTAAGCAGCATTGAAAGCTATAATTACCAAGAGGACTATTTCAACAAAATGGTGTAAATTACAATTAGGGGGCAACAAGAAGCTGAATAACACACATGGATGAGTAACATTAAATATTATTACAACAACATTTTATTTCTTGTTTTTCCCACGTAACATATTATGGAAAATGAAAAAGCACAGTGCCTGTTTATAATCAAAACAAATGAATTGGTGCACTTACAAGTTGGTCAAGGAAAAAATACTACTACAAATTCGACTGAGAACCAGCAGGTTGTGTGACGGGAGAATCTTGAAAGACCCAGGAAGAGATGAGATGATGCGCAATCGCAAAGGGTCCCGGGATGAACATGGGAGTAAGCTCCCCACTTTCCACATTGAAATCTGCAGATAAGCTTTGTCCCTTCTCTACTCCCTTGCACATCTGGTCTACCTTGGTCATTGCTGATCCTTGCGCCTTCTTGTATTCAGCAACTGTCAAGGCTTTTCTTACATCTTCTCTACTGTGCCATTGAGCATCTGACAACAGAAAAATTCAACCTCCTTGTCACTTGCCTACCTATGTGACCATTCTTCCAATTGACGAGAAAAAATTGAAGAAAACTAATTTTTCAAACGAAAGCAATTGTTTGTAAGAAAGGGCATAATTTAAAAAATGATTAGTTAAGCTCAACTGCTTTCCAAGTGGTCAATGTACCTTCCAACTCTTCCTTGTCCACATTTATCTCAAGTGATTTTGCATATGCAAAGAAGCCCACCATCAACTGGCATGGCATGCTACTTGGTCCAACTGAGAACAAATAAATTTACAAGGATAATAAATACAAATATACATATTTGACATAAATATTTTCTTAAACTGTCTACCTGTGTATAAGCACCACTGATTTCATCTAGTGCCATTAAAATTTAAAGGACTGTCAAAGCAATAAAATTCTAGAACGGCAAAAATACTGCTGTTTATACAAACAGCATATGGCTCTGCCAAATCAAAAAACCAAAATAAATTATTTGATTGATTATTATTTTGAAGGTGGCCTCAGTTTGCCTTCTTTATTTTGTGTTGTGTAGAAAAACTTTATAAGAATGAGGAGCCTCTACTTATGGAAATTAATAAAATATTTCTTATAAACAAATCTTTTCGCGATGATCTTTCTCGTGCATCTATTAAGCTTTCCTCGTTACTGTTTTCACACAAGATTACCTAGTTTAGATATCAACTTTGCCATTCCGACAATTATACTATTAAAGATTGAGGTATCCACCATTCCGACAATTATAATAGTAAGGATTGATATATCCAAAATACACTGGAACAAATGAAGCATGTAGCTAAAGTCATACCAGGCCATGGCTGAGAACTATGATAGACAACTTCTCCCACCTCAATACCAGTCTCCTCCCATGTTTCTCTCCTCACTGCCTCTTCCAAGCTTTCTCCTGGCTAGTGATCAACGAAAAGAAAGAAAGAAAAAAAATGCCAAAATTATTTAGGAGGAGAGAAGAAAAGACCGAAAAAAGCGCTAAAGAATCTTGCGAATCCAGTAAAAAACGAGAAAACCCTGAATTTTTCCAATAAGCAATAAAAATCTTCCAGTAACTTACCATCAAAGAGTAAAAGAAATGAAATAAAGTGTATCCTTATCAAAATAAATAAATAAATGAAAATAAAATAAAATTGCATCACATGACTAATAGTTAACCGAATAAAAGAAAATGGAAAAGATGGTTGCTCGGTAAAGAATAGTCACAAAGAAAAAGAAGCTACTCATTAATGACCTTTTTTTAATAGATAACCAAATGACGGAAGGTTTACAATTTCACAAAAGTGTATGTAACGTAAACCAGTATTAAACTTAGCCAAGGTGCATACCTCTATAAAACCAGCTAGGCAACTCCACATCCGGGGCACAAATCTTGACTGTCTACTTAAAAGTGCACGATCATTTTCTCTATCAATGACTAACATGATGACAACCTGTTCTAAGGTCACATGAGCCACATAAGAAATGTAGCATTTGATGCATCCAGTGCATAAGAATTGGAAACATTGCTTAAAAATGATAAGGCTAAGAATCACCATACCGGATCAACACGTGGATAGATCCTCTTTTTGCACGACTCATTTGAGCATTGCTTCCTTCTCCCAGCTTCCTTTGGGACTGTTCTTTCTCCACAAAATCCACAAAAACGTGATATGTTGTGCCATTCTAGAAGTGCCCTGGCCTGATCAAATGCCAAATCAGAGAACGTATAACTCTCAGTACCAAAAACAGAAATGCCATTTTACATGTGAAAGCTGATAAGCAGAATCTAATTTATAGTTCATGCTAATGAAAAAAGTAGCCATAAGGCATGAGGGAAGCACCCACCAAACCTCAGGCATTGAAGCATGGCCCTTTGAGGAAAGTCTACAAAAATAACTTCGCACAAATCCTTAAACAACAGCTTCATGTAATTTTGGTGGGACAGGGGGCAATGAACAATATTATCATACAGTTTTGAAAGATATTAAATTATAATTCATATTTCCAAAAGATAGTTGTATGATTAAAAGTAGCAACATATACAAATAAGAATATACATTCAATTTCCCAACTTCACATATGATGTGCTTAGTGCCATGTCCTTTCCTTTGAACCTTGGTGATATAAAAATTTTACAAGCCAAAAGACAAGGGCTCAAGGATTGATATTCAAAGTTAAGCATATCCCAAGTTTGGAAGAGAGAACTAGGATTATGAACAATAGCTAACAGTTACTGTAGAACCTTCAAATATTTCTCCCGCAAGCTCCAACAAAATAATTAATAAACAATTTAATAGTACACTGAAGCCAAACAAAATGAGAAAATCAAAGTACGGAGTTTGGATAAAGGAAAACCAGAGAGCATTAGTTCAAGGAAAGAGGGCTTGATATGACTAATATGTGCAATTTTTCCCCCTTTTAAGGCCATTTATGTCTAACAATTTAAGGATATAAACAGACAAAATGAAAGCAATAATTGCCATCCCACGGAAGATTTTTTTTTCCCCATCCCACGGAAGACGATATGCCTTCTCTAAGAATAAAAATAGAATCACCTCTAGGGATTTAAACTGTGAAGCAACATATTGGTGTGACTTTGTAAATTGAACACAATTTTATTCACTTAATATTACACCGTCATCTTATTATTGTCTTCCTTGGTACATTAACCTTAGGGAGGTTCCGGGTGCATCCTTGAATTTGAATGGTCCCATCAACATTTAACATAAAATTTCAATATAGACATATCCACTTAAGAAATCGGAAGCCATCTTATAAATAATTCAATTAGGTCTCATTAACATTTAACATAAAATTTCAATATAGACAGATCCATTTAAGAAATCGGAAGCCATCTTATAAATAATTCAATTAGGGGACCTAACAGGTATCACATGCCATGAGATGCAATCAATCCCCTACTCACCCATTTATAGATGAACTTTTATGTCTAACGAAAGTGTAAATGAGGCATTCAACTTTAGGGGGACATCCGAGCACACTCCTAAGGTGTTAAATTCCAGTTATTTCCCCTATGGGCCCTATCAATACATATAGGGAACTTGGATTGTATCATTGAATCTGAATGAACATTTCACATAGATTTCAATGAAGAAAAATGTCATCTTGGATGGATCCATCTAAGAAATTCGCAGCAATCTGATGTTTGAAAATTTTGAAAATTCAAGGAACCTAAAATATATCACTTGCAATTGGATATGACCAATTACCTACTATCTCAATGATCCCATTTTGCGTGATAAACTTTAAATTCGCCAATGGAGTGATTCAAATTTCTTTTAGTATTGAAGCAAATAATCAAAATTATTTGACACAGAAAGGAGGCATTTGATCAAACTTTAGCAATATGGTGGAAACGTTCAAAATTAACTCTGTTAGTTTAGGATGATAATTGATTTTGTGTTTTTGGTGCAAAAGATTTGACGAATGCAACACCACATCATGAAATGTAATGTTCTCTGTGCTAAAGCTGAGTTCCACACATATTCATAAACACCTTAAAGGCTTAATATAAACATATGCGTCCAGATTGATATATACAATATTACCCACTCATCCACATATGTACATATACTTACATGCCCAGCAACAGCCAATTCGCCCATAGCTCTAGCATCGGCCCAATCCGTCGCAACCATCAAAGTCCTCAACTCAACAAAGCAAAGCTGCCTAGAACCCAATTCATTCACTAAGTTATTAGCATCAGACACATCAATTGCCCAATAAACAACGTCATCCTCTGACTTGGAACCCAAATAAACCAACGAATCTTCATTCAAACGAACCTCAGAATTCTCCAAGAAAAGCCTACAATCACCCAAATTCAACCAACCCAGATGCCAATTTGGTGCCGAATCAGCTATCGACCCGGCTAAGGGTCTGCCCTTTCTGAAGGGCAATACCTTAAAATTAGGGGAAGATGGTTCGTGGGTGTGCCCTAGAAAGACGGTTTTGAGGGTTTGGAAGGCAGAGTTGGATGAAAATGGGTCACTTGGTTTTGGGGTTTTGGATTTTATTGGGTTGCCTGCAAAGGCATGAGAATTGAGATTTATGGACATGGTGGAGAGGAGGAGGTGGGAATGGGGTCTTGCTAGGGTTAGGGTTTGGAGAGAGATAATTTTAGACAGAGAAAGGAGGGATGAGGTGGCTGACGAGGAGGAGAGGAAGAAGAGCATGTCTCTGTTCTACCCATTGGCTGGTTTGAAGAGAGAAGGAGAAGGTAGGTGATGACGACTGATGATGAGTCAGTTAGTTGGGCCATGGAGTAATGACAAGTGGACAGATGTTTTCACAAAAAGGCCCACTTCTTGCTGTCATATAATTGGCCACAAATAGACCAACCTAACCAAGATTGGACGGTGGAAACAATTTGGGCCAAGCTTAAGGTATTGGCCCAACTTGATCTGAGCTTTAGTAGATGTTGGTCCGTCAAACTTCTCTGAAGCCCAGTGTTCAGTGTTAAGTTCGAATCATGTATCTCTGAAGCCCAGTGTTCATACATGAAAGGTACTATGGTATGAAATATAAATGAATAGGGTAGTAATTGATGTGGTGAAAATCTAAAATATTCTATGTTCAAAAATAAATACATAAAGTGAAAGGGAAAAAAATATAGTCACCTTTCACCATCCATAATTAGCATAATTGTTGTCAATCTCCTACTCTTGCTTTTTTAATTCAAAGTAATTCATTCAATCAATAAAAAAAAGTTATTGGGAATGAAGACGCCTCCATCCCTTAATTTGTATAATTAAAATGGCATTATATCAAAGTCTTTCAAAGCGTAAGGGTGGTATTAAAAATTCCAAAAGGGCAAAAAAAAAAAAGGTGCCTATAGTGATGGTTATGGTGGCCAGTAAAAGTCCATTTTGTGTAAAGTTGCAGCAAGGAACGTTTTCTTGTCATTGCCTATGTGCTCATAAAGGATTAGTATCTGGTTCTTATATGCCTAATTATATACTTCTTGGAGAGTTGATGCTGAAAGTAACCAAATTTGTTGCTCCAAATTAAACTGGCTCGTCTTAGCTAGGGAAGTGAATGACTCGTACACATTCTCTGTTGCATTGGTGGAAGATTGCTGCATTAGGGGTGGTCCATTATCATCTTCAAATTGCTTATCTATGGAATTAGGCAGCTTTGGCTACAATTAAGCAGCTTTGTACAAACTACAAATACACACACGTTTACACACAGGACTATTTTCGGAATAGTGAAGGGATTTATTATTAGCTTCATGTAAGAATGTTAGAACTCTTCTTGGCAAAATACATGGCTATGCTTGTGAATATGGTTCATCAAACATGAATGTGAAGCTTGCAACATTCAACGGAAAAGGAGAAGAAAAAAGCAACAAAACGAAAGGTGTTAATGGAAGTTGGAATTTCACAGAACATGGAATGCTGCTACACGTTAATCTCTCTCAGTTCATTTTCCCTAGAATGCACCACCTGAAATAAAATAAAATAAAAAATTGATTGTCTTAGGAAAATGCATTGAAATAGTGTTTGGAAAACAATATTTAGCTAAAATGCTTTCACAAAACACCACTGACTATGAAGATTGCTTACCAAAATCTCTTGGTGTTTTGCATTTAAAGCATTCCGTCCTACTGGCATAATTGTGTACTCCACATCCTAGTCTGGCCAAATTCAAAACAAAACACCATTATCAGAATATTTTCTTTTACACATTATGGTATTATTAGTCTATAGTCATCTGTTTGATATAAAATTGTTTGTGAACTCACCTAGAGCAAATCCAATCACCGGTTTTCCATCCAGGAGGAGCACTGCCATCGGCATATAAATAAGCTCCTGCACCCACTGTATCACCTCCATACCCGAAATAATCTTTTGATGCACCACACCTATAGCAGCTAGGTCTGCTGGCGTAGTTGTGTGCTCCACAGTTCATTGCATTGCAGTACCAGTCCCCTGCCAAGACTTCAGTCCTGTTTATGCCGTATGATGAAATATCCCCACCATATTTAGGGCACTGGCATAGTTGGCATGAATCCCTTTTTTTGAAATTCAGATGTTGGCAAGAAGGGCACATCCAGTCTCCTTCCCTGCTCATTTTCTGTCTCCCTGCCAACATTACCACAAGAAACAATAAGAAAAAATACCGTCACATTTGAACTTCTTTCATACTCAGTTGATTAATTGGGCATAAATGAACAAAAATATAAGTGCATATCATGAACCTATTATGTTTATATATACACATGCACAAACACACCATCAAGAAATAAGACCGAGCCTAGATTTCTCTTCCTACTGGTAGATATGTTAATTAGTAAATGCACAAGAAAACAGTGGCAAATTGCTAAAACACAACGATTGGTCCATAACAACTCCTTGCATTATATATGGAAATGAGCATTTATATATATACTAATCCATAGCCCTTTGTTCTTGAACCCCAAGTTTCTTCAATAACAAGGCCACTATTGGAACACAAGGAAAATTTTCCCAAACAATGGGGTTCAGCCTAGACAACAATTTTTAATAACTTTGGTGGAAAGGGTATAGGAGTATTTGAGCTCCATACCTAGGAAATGATCTAAAATGCAGAAAGAATGAAGAGCACGAGCAGAAGGGAGTTACCACTCACCTAATTAAAGAAGATGAAGGATCCAAAGGAAAAACAGTAGCACCTGTAGTAGTAGTAGTAGTAGTAGTAATAGTAGAAGAAGAAGAAGAAGAGATTGTTAATGGAGCTGGTGAATTTGATGAATGGGTTGGGATGGTTTATATACTTGTTAAGGTCTCATGAGTGGGACCCTAAATGCATCTTTTCAGTTACATGAGCTTCAGATGGTTTCTTTAAGATGGGATTAATCCAAAAGTAGAAGCTTCTCAAAGATTTAGATAAGCTTCCTCTCACTCTTCTGCTCCTTTTTGGGGTGTCATATGGTGGAGGGCTTGCTTCTAAAGGCATAAACTGGTCAGTGCATGCATAGAAGCACAATTTTTCCAAACAAAAATCTTAGATTGCCCTCATTTATACTTATTCCCTATGCATTATTTGGAAAGGAAAGAGGGCCTTTCAAAAACTATTCTATGCTCTTTTGTATATCCATTTCTCCAATAAGGTGGTATGACCAGAGGAAGATGCTACTTGCAGTGGAAAATTTTCATCTCCCATCTCTCATTCACATGGATGGTCCCATCTTTGAGGATGAAATCGGTGCCCACACGAGCGTCAAGTGCACGGGTGGGGTTCCATTTTACTTGCCCATACATTACACCTTCTTGAGTAGGTTTATATAGTCCAGGTGAGATCAGAAGGAAGAGAAACTAAAGAAGAATCAATTCCTTTTCATTCACATCCATTGCCAAAGTATATTCTTCCTTGTGTTGATTCCTTTACGGTAATAATTCAAATATCCATTCGAAGACTCACATCCGATTGCCTTTTGTTTGTGTCTCCTAATCATTTAGCATCAAAGGTTAAATACAATGCCGAAAGTCAGTCTTCAATTTGCCTTTCACGGCATAATGGTATATTACCTTGTTCGCTTTTGCGCAAATGTGTGAGACTCTGTGTTCTTTTCAATGTCAATGTTTCACTGATAATTAATCAAGATAACTTAGACAACAGTTTAAGACTCATACAAAGAATACATCTTTATGAAGGTTATGTAAGGTGGTTGGTAGAAAAAGAAATTGCAATATGTTTACGAAGTTGTGTTTGCAAAGCCCTTTGATTAGAGGCTGCCAGATGTATATGTTCACTGATATTGTCTTTATGGAACTAAGCAATGCATAATTGGCAGAAATTAGCACATTTTATGATCAGCGTAGAGGTAGTCATTAATCTTGCAATTTCACTAGAAAATAAATAATAAAAAAAAATTAATTAATTTGTACTTCAAATTAGCATCAATGGTTAACTTAATTATTTGAGTTGACCTAGCAACTGACAAGTTATAGCCCTATCTCCCCTCTGAGCAGAGCAGGAGGAGGATCCTCCAAAATGACAAGCCTCACCAAGAATATACTCCATATATTGAAGGTCGACACTATGCATGAGCCATCATCAGAAGGTGCTTTGACATTACTAGTTGGACCTACATGTGCTGACATGGCAAATATATTCGGTTCCACGCAAGCACATGCAGTTGCTTGTGTGTTGACCTAGGATTTGATAAGGAGGAATCCTAATCACAATTTTTTTTTTTTTTTTTTTTTACCAGACAAAATGATATTCCACATTATTGTAAAACCCTCCGACAAAGACCCACTCTTTTATTCTATATGTGTGACACTTGTCAAAAGAGGCTCAATAATACTCCAGGAATCCACATCCGAACGGCCACTGAAAAAATAGCCGTTGCTTTTGGATTTTGAATATTTCCCCTTGCTATATGAATTGACATTGAATCGTGATACACATGGTGAAACAAACAGCGATTTTAATGCCTGACTTCACTGAATTTTGCATCATTCAAAAGGAAGTTTTCTTGGATAAATTTTATTTCCCTAGATAGAAAAAAATTATTAAAAAAATCCCTTTATTGATGCTATTCTTATCATAAAAGTGAGAAAATGACTTGTAAATGCTTTTTATTTGAGACAAAATGTTGCTTTATGGTTGGGGTTTTTGATTACTTTGGTAAATGCTCCACCCGACTTGGGCCCATGAAACTATTTGGCGTTTGAATGAGTTGCCCTTCTCTTATTGCTCATTTTTTATTTTTCAATATATAAAACGACTTGGGAGGGTAATAATATTTAAGATTGATAAGCATGAAGATGTATGTTTGAATCAGATTTAGCTCGGCATATTAAATGGGAGTAATTGTTTTAGTTTCTCATGACCTATTTTCTTTAAAAAATGAAACAAAAAATAAAATAAAATAAAAATGTAATGTGCATGCATAATATCATTTTCTTGCCTGTTTCCTCATTTTTCTTATTGATATTATTATTTTATTTTATTTTTGGTTGGGAAATACCAAAAAAGAATGGAAAAGTGAAAAGCTAAAGAAAAAGCAGCAGATAAAAGAAGAACAAAACTGATGCAACCTGCACATTATAATCATGGGCAAAGAAGCACCATTATATATAAAGTCAGAAAATCTATTTTGTGTGACCAATAGTGAGCAACTTTATATTAGACTCCTCATAATCCAAAAGACGAGAAGAAAATTGATGTTGTCACAGTAGAATATTTTTAGGCTATGTTCAATTGTGGGGCCTCAATTAGTCTCTTTTTTTTTTTTTTTAATTCTTTTCTTCTTTAATCTTGGCAAAAAAAACACATTCACTTCCTATAGACCTTGGAACATCAGTCTCAAATTAAAAGCTAACATATATATCAATCTCAAATTAACCAAGCTAACATATATATCAAGCTAACACATATATCAACTCAAATTAACCAAGCTAACATATATATCAAGCTAACACATATATCAACTCAAATTAACCAAGCTAACATATATATCAATCTCAAATTAACCAAGCTCACATATATATCAAGATAACACATATATCAACTCCATAACTAGCTACATATTCTCAACGATAAAATATCATAATTAGACATGCATTCACAACTCACTGGGGAAGGCTGATTTTCAATTTTTCAGTGAATTTCGATGAGCTCTTTTGACTGGGCAAAAATTCATTTTTCAATTTAATTGAAATCTTCGATAATTAATATCATTAATTTTGCTCATGCCAGCCAAATTTTATTGTTTAGTGCCTCACCTGTCAAATATTTGTTAGAAGTCAAAATAAATTCAAATTGTTCTAATTTTTATTTATCTGAACTTTGTGGATTCAAAGTTGTTGCAGTATTATTTACTTTAATCTTCTGTTCTGTTGTGGACAAAGGCCATACGAACGGACTAAAAAACCCCATGATCTTTATTCATATATGTTAGATACTGAATTTTATTTATATATATATATATATGAAATTGCACTGGAGTTGACTGAATTACAACTAGCTAGGTTTTTTTATGGAAATGATGTTGGAATCATGGCTGCTTGAAGGAGTTTCGCCTTGCAGATGCCAAAACAGTCTTGTCCGCCACAATGAAATATGCTGCCCCTGCCACTGCATCCCATTGAATTAATTAGTATTCTTCATATATTACCAAAAACAAATTTAAAAATTGAGAATAATATTAACTGTATCATAGTTACATAACATATATATATATATATATATATATATATATATATATATGATGATACTCTGTATATTAGTGACTGCATGTGATTATGATTAGATAGTTAAACCTGTTGAAATAATGAGAGCTTGAGCAGTGTGATTGAGATGGGCTCTAGCCCAAGGCAGCATCCTCACACTAGCCAACTGCATATGTACAATATATATGTTCCGTCAGTACTTTACAATATGAATGTTCTGTACAATGGTCATATATATATATATAGTCTTTTGATAAAGCAATTCTTGGGTTATTAATGTGCGTGTATAAGAAGTAGTATTGAAAAATTAAGGCAGATTGTAATTTAGTAAGGAAGGAGACTTGCAGTTGGTATAGCGGTAGCGACAGTAGCAACAGCAGCTGCTTTGGCACCAGCCAGAACCCCCTCTGTAGATTCAATACACCAAAAAAATAAGTCAGATGGAATTAATCGATGTTTGTCAAATGGAAAAGACAATCTAGAATGGAAAATACAATGAATTAAGTCAAGCTTGATGGGAAGCAAATAAATAACACATTTTAAAAAGTGAATTTAAGGTGTTACAGCTTTTAAAATTATTCTTTGAGATCTGAAAAACTTTTCCAGAATTAGCTATGTAATTGTATATATATATTGAAGGTTAGTTTTAATATATACTGAGTATTTTAAAGCACGAATGCATTTTCTTTCTAAAAAAAAAAAAAAAATGAGATCTTTTGCTAAAAGGGCTCTCCTTAATACAATCAGAAAAAGTATTAATGCTAGCTATAACTAGTATTAGGAAAAATTAAAAAATACCAATCTTCAACACATGATTGCAAAAATGTACCATGAGAACAACGCTTGGCCATGGCTAGTTTTTGATCGAGTGAAGAAGCCAAGCTATTCCTTTCAAGAGGAGACTGAGCCACATTTTTGGCCATTTTAGAGACACAACTAGTTTCTCAAAATGGGAATTGTTACGGATCAAAGTAAGTACTTGAGAAGATTTTTGAAGCTTTGCATGAAGAGACACTGAGCTTGGTTTGGGCATTTATAAGCATTTTAGGCCGGGTAGCTGTGTGTGTATGTGTGTGTGTGTGTGTGTGTGTGAGAGAGAGAGAGAGAGAGAGAGAGAGAGAGTGTGTGTGTGTGTGTGTCAGTGTGTGTGTGTGTGTGTGTGTGAGAGAGAGAGAGAGAGAGAGAGTGTGTGTGTGTGTGTCAGTGTGTGTGTGTGTGTGTGTGTGTGTGTGTGAGAGAGAGAGAGAGAGAGAGAGAGAGAGACGTTTTCAGTTGATTGTAACGTCCGAGGCACTTGGTTTTGAAATTGCTGACCTGGGGTCATATAAGCAGCACTCAGTGGATTGTCAGTGGCGAAGTTACTATATGACCCATGATGGAGTATTAATATACAGAAGGGAGTAATCAGTAATATGAATCAACTAACTTTTTCACCAAAATGGGATTTATTTTAGGTAACCCCAATAATTACACAAATATTATATGGGGTAAGTGAGTGTAACTTTTAGTAGTAAAGAGAAGGCCACTGGTTTAAGTAAAAAACGCAGCCCTTAAAACCGTGGGTAAACACAAACGTTCCATCACCATCATCTTCACGTGACTACTCCCATTTTCAGATTTTGTGCAGCAATTGGCACACTAGTGCGAAGCTCATGAGATTGGGACACGTGTATGGGATGTTTGTTTGATGGGTTTCATTTGACCTTTTTTTCATGCTTTTCTCCTTTGACTGGGTGTTCAGTACTTCTACTTTTGCCAAAACAATGGGTTTTTCTGTCCTCAGTTTTGTCAAAACCCACTTGTTGAGTTTACTCACTTTTCAATTGCTTGTTTCACACCCTTTCCCAAAACATTTGGTTGACTGTGGATAAATCTAATTAGGCCAAATTACACCCACCACCCACAGGTTAGGTGATCAAGTAAACATTAAGTGCGTCAGGACATACCAATGTCCGTCCGATGATAACGTATCATTTCAAAAATAAAAAAAAGTGAGATAATATATTATATTTAATTGAATGAAAATATTTATAAAGTGGTATGCCTGAGGCATCCAATATCTGTTCCAACAGAAAGAGTGTCTGTTTAATTTGTCCATCTAATTACTAATTGTTTAGGGTAACATCTTTGAATGGGTCCATTACCCCGCTGATATAATCTCCGGTCTTTCAAAAAGGATGAGAGGGGGCAGTTAGATAACAACACCTATCATAATTGGACTAATTGAAACTGATATTTGTAGGAATTGTCGTGACTTTATTGTAAAATTGAGGGTTGTAGTTTCAATAATTAATATCAAAGGAAAACAGAAGATGGATAGAGTTGGTTAATTACTAGAGACCATAAACGTTTGAAATTTTTATTAGAGAAAAGTGTAAAAAAACCTCCCTGAATTGTGAAGAAATCTGCAACTAACCCTCTGAACTATCAAAAATGCAATAAATCCCGTAAATTATGCAAAAAAATTACAAATGACTCCATTCGGCCAATGTCCGGTGAGAATTAGCCGTTAAAATTTGTTAAATTTTTTTAAAAGATCATATTACCCTTATAAGCATGAAAGGACATATGTGCCTTCAATTTCCAACCGCTAGACTCCAACATCCCAGTCCTAAGCAACAAAGCCAAACATGGCTTTCCCAAAAAAAATAGCCAAACATGGCTTTACCAAATTTCACCAAAAAATCATATTCGACCTAAAAAAACCCCAAATCAACCAAACAAACGCTAAGGTAGGGTTTTTTGCTGCCGACAAACCCAGAAACGGCGCCGACGAGGTATCCGGCGAGGACAGAGGACAGAGGACGAACCGACGAGGTATCCGGCGAGGACGAATCCAGAAACGGCGCCAACAAACCAAGAAACGGCCGCTGTCCTCCATAGCTTGCTGGGTCGCTACAGACACATATATATCTATATATATACACATACAGAGATATTTATTGAAAATGATTTCTTTGAATTCGAATCAAAACCCCAAATAATCGATCTCATGAGGCCAAAGTCAAAAATTTTGGACTTCGAATCGATCTCACGAGGCTCACTTTCTCTCTCTAAAACGAACAACAGCGAACCGCTGTCAGGAACAACAACGAAGACATGTATAGCTCTGCGGCTACCGATTCGGTTCCTGTGAGAACAGATTTGGCGGCGGCGGATCCGGCGGAGACAAGAAGACGGCAGCGGGCGGCAGCGAGCGGAGCTTGATGACAGAGGATAGTAGTGATGTGTGGACTCGGCGAGAGGAGCTTGTGATCCAAAAATTCCTCGAGGAGGTGTCCGCATCGGATAATTCCCACCTCCCTCCTCCGTTCCTGCTTCTTCCGGTGGTGATTGTGGGGCTTCGTCGGCGATACCCAAGAGCGACGTCGTCGATATCAGGGATGACCAGGCTCATCGTCGTCGTCATCAAGCGACGATGACTGCAGGTTCTACGACATCGTCTGATTCATCTTCTCCCAACATTCCAAGCGAAAATGTTCTTACTGGCGAACACGAGGACGGCGGCGACGATAATGGCGAGCGAGAAGGTGTGATTCAAACCCAGAATACACAAAATACCCTTTTGATTTATATGTATATACATCCCAATTAATACAACCCAATCAAACCCAGAACATTACATAGTTTATTTGTATATTCATTCGTGTACATATATGTAGAGAGAGAAGATGGGTGTTCTTCTGTATTGGATTGAGTAGAATTATTAAAAAATTGTCCCTTGGTGAATCGGCGGTGATGGTACAGACTTGCGGCAGAGAGTGTGTTGTATATACACTGTGAACAAGATTACAACACCAGACAGTAATTCTCGAGGGATTGATCCAAAGAAAAAATATGTTGTTTCGCCTCTTGTAGTTGCAGAGAATGAAGTCGTCGTTTTTGTCAAGCAAGTTATGAGTGATGTTAATATGGCTGGGCCACTATTTGTTGAAGATTGCATATGAGACTTATGAGTGGGCATAAACGTGATGGATTTTGGAAATCAGTCCAGTGATTATAAGCACACAAGATAAAATTAAATATGGACTGTTTGGAAGAGTTAAATGCGTACTCTTACTTTGTCAATTTAAAGGACTAGAATCTGATTTCTAAATCTTAAATTGGATGCATAATTTCATTGGGTTATCGTGAACAGATTGACGAAATCAGTTCATTTCTTGTCCATTCGCTTTGGAGCAATTGGCGAGACTTTACATTTTGAATATTATAAAGCTCATTGGATGTGCAGGGTGACCTCATAATTTTGAGATTAATGAGGAGCTTTTTGTCTTTAACATTGTGGTTGTGTTTGAACAACCTTTTGAACTTGACATCCTTCTAACCTTCTTAAACGATCATTGATTTTCCTTTTGAGGTGTGAGGGAGAGAGCACTTCAGACACAACATTTTGAAATTTAAACAACTTATAAAATGATTTATTGTCAAACAAATGTTTTATTGTGATCGAGTCAGAAATAATCAAAGGTTCTCCATCACTTGTTCTATTCTTGAAATTAAACATATTGATGAACTTTCTATTTCCACTTTACATTTATATCTTCCGAAGTCACCATTACTCCTGCCAATGATTAAAGTGAGTTTGGAGAATAAGAGGATGATCTCCAATTACTAATAGACAAAGTTGATGAGCTAGCTGTTAATGGATGGATGAATTGGAGTTAAATCCCTAATTCTTTAGAGTTGCAGAATAGACAGAGGAAAGAAGGGAAGGCCAAATCCCTAATTTTTTAGAACCCTAATATTAGCAAATCCCAAAAATTTCAATCCATTGACACATGAAAACATAGAAGAAGATGATGACCTCTCATAGATGTTGAGAGAAGGGTCGCGATCGATGAAGGCGGTGACGTAGCGTATGCCATTCTCAACGTTGGTGCAGAAGGCGAGGATGAGGAAGGAGGAAGGAGGAGGGGAATACACGTAAGGTAGTATGAAAATACAAGTAAAGGGGTTTTTTTATAAGGGTAAAACTGTCTTTTGCCTTTTCCGGTGGTCTGAGTTGGCAAATTGTAACAAATTAAATTCAAGGGTTTTTTTTTTTTTTGTAGTTTAAGGAGTAAGTTGCAAAACCCACATAATTCAGAGTCTTTTTTGCACTTTTCTCTTTTTTATTATGAAATAGTAATTATTTTGATTCGGGCCTCTTGGCCATATACGGCACCAGTTTGTAAACAATGGGATCCCTTAAAGCAAGTGACCTAGTTTACTTTAACCAAAAAAAAAAAAGTGACCTAATGTAGGTCAAACAATTGAATGGCCTATAGTGGGTTCACAAATGAGACCCAGTGCCTTGGGCCCAATAAGAAGTCCAAGCTAAAATTAGCTTTGGATCAAATTGAAGTTTTAATATTTTACATAGTTAGTGTAATTTTCTATCGAGCTTTAGATGGCCGGTTAAAGTCTGTGCTCTTATCTGTCGACGAGGCCCACAACTCTTAAGCCTCATGATGGGCCCACTGTCGATTAGTGGGCCCGGCCCTGCTGATGATCTGTTGTCCCTCATGCAGGCTTCTCCTTTAACGTGGCGTCCATGCAGTCTCGGATGGATCCCCAACAGAGAATAATTATCGTATTTTAAGCGACTCTCTCGCTGCCACGTATAAAAGTAAAATAACACTGGGTGAATTTGTGCCACGTGGATGAAGACCAATAAGAGTTAAAAAGAAAGAGCTACTTGGGCTCAGAAGACTGGAGCAAATAGGAGTGAAATGGGCCCACAGCCCACTCAGAAATATTGAGACCTTTGATGAGGGCCCAGTGGACACCTGTAAAAGAAGCCCTAGCGCCGGTTGACACATCGTATGAGTAACCGAAAGAAAAGTAGCATTTGTTTGATTGAGGTGAGTATTGAGTGGTCCACGTATACATGCAATCTTCTTGGTGGTAATAAATTAATAAAATTAAGAATATATACCAAACTTGATGATAAAGTTTTGGATATTTTTATATCCCCTAAAGTGGAGAACAACCAACCCCTCTAAACCGGGGGAAAGTGGGGGATCGAGATCAGGGTCTCCTTAAGGAAATTAAATTAAATTTTCTTCATCAATTTTTTTTTTTTAAGTACTTTGGTTCTACTTTAAATATATATATATCATTATTACTCAGATGAAAGATTAATAATTTTTTTTAAAAAAAAAACATGTTAACTAAACAATATATCACAAACTTTAATAAAACATGATTATTAGCAACTAAATAGAGAGGTACTATAAAATAAATATAAAATTTGTCATTTAATAAGGGACAACTAAAAAATATAGCATTTATGATATCATTGTTGTTATTGATATTTTTGTTATCTTAGTATAATTACACTTCAACTTCTCCTTTTCTTGGATTATCTGAAGGGCATATAATTTTAAACATTTTTTCTTGTTAACACATACTATCTAAAAAAATTGTCTCCAAAAAAGATTCATGTATCTTTATTAAATATCATATGATTGATATTATAAAATATGTATATGTATAGAAATATAAATGTAGTAATGATATGTTATATAATAAGGACGGCAAAAATAATAAACTATGTAGTAATGATATGTTATATAGCAAGCAGGGACTACCCAAAAAAAAAAAAAAGAAGATTTGGACTTAGCTAAAAAAGTTTAATTAAAATTATACAAAATTTGAAAAATATAAGTTGTACTTATTTCCGAACTATAATTAAAGCCAGACAAATAAGTTTTTTGAAAAATAATTTGGAAGGTCAATTGAAAATTTTCATAAGTTTTTGAGGCACAAAATGACAATTTTTAAGAAAGTGGGATATATAAAAATACAAAAATGAAATTCTATTGTACTCGGAATTTCAATTATTGACTAAACCATAAGACTCACATGTAGTTCTTATCTTCCAATTTATGGCCACAACTTACTTCTCTCTCGACTCTCTAAAAAAAAAATAATAATAATAATAAATAAATAAATCATAGATTTCTCTCCCACGTGAGAGAAAAAGTTTGGGATTATTTTAACATAAATGATAAATTTTATACAAAGATTTCTCATATTTATTTTTAGGTTTTTACTTACTACCAAAAATAAATAAACTTACTACCAAAAATAAATAAATAAATCATAAGCTAAATAAGGTGTTCTTAAAATTAATTTGAATTTTCCTTGGTATTTGGAACCACAAAAAAGTCGACCTCTCATTCCAACAGAGAGTGACATGAGAAATGAGACACTATTCATACTTCTTGCTTACAAAGTATGATTACACATTTATGTATTGGAATTAATAAAATACTAATTAGAAATGAGTCATAATGTCCCACAAGATCTCAGATTCTCCACGTCAGCAAGAAAACAACAGAAATCATCTGGTCCAGGGGCTATTTCCGTAAATAACAACAACGTCAAGCCCAAAAATTCGAAATGCGGTCATCACAGCTATTTAACGAAGCACGCTGCTACACGAAGGAGATCAGAATAAACACACTTCTCTCCCTCTCTCTAGCTCTACTTTCTCTCTCTATATGTCGACATGAAAGAACCATCTTTCTCGCGTCGTAGCAGACCCAACAAATCCCAAAAACTCAATCTCGTGTGCAGCTTTAACGGCTCATTTCAACCCCGACCACCGTACGGAAAGCTCCGGTATACAGGCGGCGAGTCTCGTATCATCTCCGTCGACCGAAACATCGGGTTTTCAAGACTCAAATCAAAGGTTTCGGAGCTTTTTTGCCCTAAAAACACTTTCTCATTCTCTCTCAAGTACCAACTCCCGGACCCTGAAACTATCGACGAAGACGCTCCTCTGGTTCTAATCACGTCAGACGACGACGTTCGGTGCATGATTGATGACTATGCAAAGTTCGAATCGTACGGTAAGTACACTAGGCTTTGGATTTTTGTATGTAGTGATAATGGATACCCTGTGAACCATGATATATCTGTCAATTATCTTGAAACTGAGAATTTGAATAACGGGTCTGGAGTTTTGTATAAATACAAGGGTTTCGATGATGATACAAAAGGAACTTGTGTGAATAGTTTGATTGATTCTTTGTGTGATAATGTGCTTGAGAGTCAAAATTTAATAACCCATTTGTATGGAGGTGGTTTTGGTAGTGATGAAGTTAAGAATTTGGCCACCAATATCACCGGAGTTCGAAATTGTGATAATTCTTTAAGAAAAATGGTTGTGAAACAACCGCTGTTAGGAAATCCATTGGCTCAGGTTCAGAGTTTTCACGGTGGTTTGGGGCTTCCTGTTGAACAAGCCAATATGGAATTGATGAGCGAAAACAAAAAATCTGATCAACCACTCATGGACTTAAATTTTGAACCAGAAAGCCATATGAGCCAAGAAAGGACAAACCCAAATCTTGGTGGTGACCGGTTTAGTGTTGACATGTTAGATTACATAAACACAAATATTCATTTTCCCAAAAGTGAAAATTTTGGCAATTTGAATCAGCTGCCGGTGTTTCATTCTCATCCCCTAAATCCAAGACATGGAAATCTTCCTGTGGAAGGGAATCATTCTATGCAATGTTTAGCTGGTTTGGTTTTGGGCAATGGAGCTGGAGCTAGTTCTGTAAGTTCTAGTAAGTTTATTGCTGGAGTGCAGTTCCCAAAACAATCATGTAACTTCAACATGAATCTGATGCCTATCAACTGTGATGCTAAGTATGAGTTGAGAAGGATGGAGCCAGGTCCGGTACCGATGAGTAATTTGAATAGGGAGAACATTAGGCCACAGGCTGCCAATTGCGATTCAGTACAGAATAATTTTGTGTCACTCTCCTGCAGCAATCAGTTGAATCCAAATGTCTATCCAATTGAATCTTCATATGGCGGTGACAAGGTGAGGGGCAATCTTTGTGGTGGCACCAAAAATAACCGATTTTGTAATGGCAATGCAAAAAATCAGAGAAATTTCCCATATTACATTCGGAATCATCGGAGTAATCTCACTGAGATGGGGAAACATCGTAGTGTTAGAATAGATGGAAGGCCTTGGGTAGGAAAATTCTATCCTGGGCTTAGGCCGAGTTCAAGCATCTCAAAGCAGGGGCAGGCTATGAGATCATACCGTGCCACTTTTTGCAAGCCTTGGTCTAGTTATCATGATCATACCCTGGAAGGAATTAAGGGAATTATGAATTCTGGCCTAAATAACCGAACTGACACATTAGACCATCCCCATGGCAGTAAAGAAAATTTGAAGGACAAGGGTCACCTTGGAGTTCCACAACATGGAACACGAAATCATAAGGAATATCCGTCAGGTTATCATGGTGCATGCAGTAGCTTGGATGACCAATCTCTCTTGCCTTTTAGCTTTACCGAGAACCTGACAACATGTGCAAGGGTTATGGAAGGTCAGGAAGATCTCTTAACTGGTTCCAATGCTGAGAAGGATGAAGTTCAATATCAAGCGGCCTGCAAAAATTTTCGTGAACGGCCCATGAATACCCTACCAATTTCTTATGATATTAAACATGAAACATATCTGGAAGGGTTACAGGAAGCTGTCAGCATCTCTGGTTTTTCAAATGATTTAGGTTCTAGCTTTGGAACAGGATTGGGATGCAATGGTAAGTTGTCTAATAGAGAAGCAGGTATAAAGTCGTTCGGCAACCATCAAAATAGTTCTCATGCTATACAACGTGGGATTGCACACATTGTGCATCTTTCTTTGTGTAACCTCTCCTTGTCGTCATCCAAAGAAGTGGAATCCTCAGTCCATTCTTCTGCTGCTAACAATGATGTTTCTGAACCCTTACTAAAACCTCAACCGGAGCTTTTGGATCTCATGGATGAAGAATACCTCAGTTCAACTCAACTTGAAAAATCAAATGGAGTTGCATCTAATTATTTTTCTCAGAATGCTGTCAAGTTGGAAAAAGAGAGAGAACAAAAGCAAGAGATTCAGCAGGACCCTCCATCCAGTTCAATCATTGTTGGAAAGGTATAGCCTAAATGCATCTTCTATGTGAAGTTGTGAACTCTATTACTTAAGACAAAACACAGAAGTGAAGCATCATTAGCAGATAGATTATAGTTCCATGGATTTGACTATTTTAATGGTTATTTTTGGCAGGCTGACATTGAAGGATCTCATAAATGCACTAAAGTAAATGGTGAAATACCCACAAACCTTGCTGCATTTTATACTCATCTAGCTACTCCAAAGCTGCAGGTAACTCTCAAACAGATGCAGATCCTATTTGTCTTTTATTATTTTAAGGTATCATGGGAAACAATGCGAAGTGCCTGCTTTTCTACACAAAGTAATCCTTTTATGTTGCCTGCAGACTATAAACAATTCTGACCTTGAATATATTAAAGAACTTGGCTCGGGTACATATGGAACTGTTTTCCACGGAAAATGGAAGGGATCTGATGTTGCCATTAAAAAGATAAAGCCAAGTTGCTTCGATGAAGGTGCACTGCAGGAGGATCGGTTGGTAAGTACTAAATTTTCATTGCCAGTTCCAAAGTTAACAATTTGTCTATTAACTGATCAACTTTTATTGAAAGAACCTTTTATTGTTTAGACATTTGGTGAGCTTATAATTAATTTGGCATTCAAAACTTGTGTGAATATTGGTAGTTCAGAGAGTTGTTGAGTTTTATTTTGTCAACAAGCACTCTTATTTTTTCCTTTTGTCATGTCTGACAAAAAATCTCTGTCGTTAGGACACATCTTGGGATCAGATACCACTTTTCTGTTCATTTGTTCCATCCCACTTACTCGGACACTTGGATTAATACCCACCAGTCTCACAATTAAAAAATCTGTGCCTCTGTGATTGTGTGAGTAAGTTTATCATCTCTTTACTTTTGTGCAGGTTGAGGACTTCTGGAAGGAAGCTCACATACTAGGGCGGCTTCACCATCCGAACATTGTGGCATTCTATGGTGTAGTTACAGACAGCCCTGTGACAAATTTGGCAGCAGTGACAGAGTTCATGTTTAATGGATCCCTTAAGCAGGTTTTGCTGAGAAAAGATAGGTATCACTGTTTCTTTCTTATTTTTTCTCTCTTTTGTTGGGGGTTTGGAAGAGTGGGTATGTAAGAAGGACGTGAATTTAGTTAATCCCACATTCTTTCTTTCTGGATATTTGCTTCTATATTTTATTAATGAGATTTACCTTTGCTAGTACTTCTCTGCATGTAATCGTGAAATACATACATTGATAACATGTTTCATCACAACTTGCATAAAAAATTTTGAATTTCCAGATAGCATTTTTTTATTGATAATAATGAAGTCCTATACTGCATGTCAGATATTCAGAGTTCTTTTACAGAAATTTGAAAAAGGAGGAGAATGGTCCAGAGGATAGTGAAAACTGATGTAATAACTACTGAGCATTTCAATTAATTAGAAGAACCATTCCTATCTGGATTTCCCAAGTTTATGAAAGCACTCTAAGAAATGTTGTCTTGGGAAAAAGGAGTATACTTCATGAGATATTTATTTTCGCCCTGAAACCATTGGCTTCTATTTCCTAACAGAGTTGCATGGTTTTAATTTCCATGACATAACCTGGGAAAACAATCTTAGGATAGCATGGAACACAATTCAGTAGCTAGCTGCATAAAGGTAGGACTAGGAGGTATCAGTTGTCACTGAAAATAGCGGCGTCTATATTGCATGGAGACTGGATTTCTGCCTCAGTTGCATTTAGAGGTACCAGGCTTTGTTATTCAAAATGTATGAAGTGCCATATTCTCCTTTTTTTAATTTCTTCCCCTCAAATAATCTGCATTTTCATCCCAGATCCTTCTTTGGTGACAGCATGAGCCTTTTTCTGTTAGATTTTAAACATAAATGATACATTTTTTTTTTTGTAGCCAATCTAAACTAAGCTTTACTACCCTAAAAACTGTGCTAGGTCCTCTTTTATGCAATTGCAATTGTACATTCTAAATGTATCTCAGCAAAATGCATATTGTAAAGCAGGAAAGCTTTGTCATTTTCTGTTTTTATGAGTCTTATAGATCCTATACTCAATAAGATTACCATTGGTTTCCACTAAGACACTGTTCTTTTATATTTGCAGAACTATTGATCGTCGAAAAAGGTTAATAATAGCGATGGATGCAGCCTTTGGTATGGAATATCTTCACGAGAAGAAGATTGTCCATTTTGACTTGAAATCTCACAACTTCCTAGTAAATATGAGGGACCCTCAGCGACCGATTTGCAAGGTAATGAACCTGAGAATTATCGTTTGTGGTTGGGTCCGATGTTTGGCCTGTATCTTAGTGTTTTTAAATAATCATTAGCCTTTGCATCTACATTTTTAATTGTTTCACTGGTTTAAATAACTCCCTTAAGAAATTTACTTGGTTCCTGTTTTCAGATTGGTGATTTAGGTTTATCAAAAATTAAAAAAAGGACACTCGTCTCTGGTGGGGTACGAGGAACCATACCTTGGATGGCTCCTGAACTTTTAAACAGTAAGAACAATATGGTAACTGAGAAGGTAGGATGATCCTTTTTTTAAATATTTTTTTTATGCTTTTAAATTTTCCTCTGATGCTTATCTTCTGATGCTTATATACAGGTTGATGTGTACTCATTTGGAATAGTCATGTGGGAACTCTTGACTGGTGAGGAACCTTATGGGAATATGCGGTCAGAGAAAATAATAGGTAATATTACAATTATACAAGTCCGTAAGCAAGTGGATGTGTTTAAGTTTCCATTGTAATGGAGTGATGACGTTATTGTTTGATGCAATAGCAAAAGCAAGGACTGACAAGAATAAGGATGCGGGTTCAAGTATGAGAAGTCATTTTGTGCAAAATAATGTCAAAAGCTAGATCTTTTTCGGTCTTCCTGCATGAATAGGAAAAACCATCGGGTGACATCCTTTTATATTTTAGTTTGGCAATATCATTGGTCACACATTCGATTTGGATTGTGGCCTTCTCATTGAAAAAGCAGAGTGAAACCATTACTTATCCATGGTTTCATCTTCAAACAACTTGTCCATTGTATCCGTATTGTAATTACATGTTTGTGAATTATATGGGTTGAGGACTTTACCTGAATAGGGAAGTCATATGGGCATTTACTGTTTAGGTGCATACTATGAGTTCTCACATGGCTTCTATTTTTTCCGCTACGGACCTACAGTTTATCTGGTACTAGAAATTTGTTCATCTCAGGTTCTTACTACAGTTTGAATGCATGATTTTTTCCAAATTATTATTTTATTTATTCAATATGTCATGCAAGTTTGTTTGATATTCCATATTATGATGTTTTCAGCTGGTATACTAAAAGGTGATCTTCGACCTGAAATCCCAACCTGGTGTGACCCAGCATGGAAGTCATTGATGGAGAGGTGTTGGTCATCAGATCCAGACTCTAGGCCATCCTTCTCAGAAATTGCAAAGGAGTTGCGTGCCATGTCAGCAGCCATGAACATCAAGTGACCACAGTGTGGTTGATCCCCATGGAGTATTCTTCTTTTGTGTGAATACTAGAAGGCACACTGAGACTTGATTTTTGTTTGCCGATCTGAACATTAACCTTGTTGGTGACACTTACTTTTGCAATTTTTGGTTGAAATGGAGAGTTTATGTGAGAGCAGAATCAACTTTTGTATCAGTTGATTCTAAATTTCTCAAGGAAGATGGAAGGCAATGAATGATTTTTTTTTTTGGGTCCTTTTGTCAGGGCTACAAATGGTCAAGCACTGTTGTACATAGACAATATTGCTAATCGATATTTGTTGATGATTTCTGCAGTCTCTCAACTTCTCTCTCTCTGTCTCTCTCTCTATATGTATATATAGACACACGGGTTTATATGTTCCAAAAAGACCATTTATCTCTCAAATATTCGATATGCTTTTCATTTGATTAATGAGATCCATTAATAGAAAGAAAAAAATTAATTCATACATTTTTTTCATATGTTGCACCAGATATATAATAGTACTTTACTAATAATTTCAATAATTCAGGTACATGCGTGATGATGGTGTGTAACCATAAGAATGTAGAAACTTGATTTCATTTCTTATCTACTACAAGTGGAAAACAATGGACTCCTAGTTTTGAGAGGTTTGGTGGATCAATTCTTACTTTGGCTTACCAACACTACAGTGTTTAGGTAACTAATATTTGGATCTTGGGAGCACGATCCTAAAAACTGTATAATGTTATTAGGATAATATTTACTGAAAAAATTATATTAATGTTTTATATGCAACTTTTTTTTTAAGACAAGCCTTATTATAAAGATATCGATTGTTTCGTATTAATTGTACAAGGGAACAGTTAAAAGATAAATTGAGGTTTCGAAGTTCAATTGGAACCAGGATTAGAAACCATATCTAAAACGAGTATCTATTTCCACCTCAACTTAGACTTCTAGTATATTTATTTGATAATTCAGTTTTGTCTTAGCTTTAATAACAGTATTAAGATCAAAACTTTAAAAAATAAAAACAAAACTAAGAAGTTTTGCAAATCAACCAAGGTAACAGTGTATGTTACATATTTATGTCTGATATTAAACATGTGGAAAAGATCTTGAAAAACAAATTTCTTAAATTTTGAATTCTTGATATTTAATTATTTTTTATTTTGGACTAAAAATATTGACAATTTCACTTTGGCTAGCTCTACAAAGGTATTAGTATTTTATTTTGAAATTTCACAAAGCAAAAAGCCAAAATCCAGAGTGATCTCTATTTTGGGGAAGGCCTCTTAGATTGAGAAAAAGTTGAGATATCCAAAAATAATAATTTTTGTAAAACTTTCAATTTGTAGGTTGATGTATTAATCTTGTGACAACATTTTATTTTTTTTCCCCCAATTGTGACAATATAACCTATCATATATTTTTATTCAACATTTTGGTTGACTGATAAACAAAATAAACATTTTATTATATCATATCATATAATAAACATTTTTTTTAGTGTAACGCACATATGCTTCACGATCCGATTCAAAAGTTTAAACTATTAGGTAGGGCTAACACCCGATCCATATATATCTATTCACTTTACAAAGAAATTTTAACATTAGTTTCTATTGAAAATGTAATTTTAACATTAGTTTCTATTAAAAATGTCAAATAGTCCAGGACCATATAATAATATCTCATTATATGCTCCATTCGTCCCAGAAAATATGTCCACCTTTTCATTATTCCAAAATAATTGTCTCATTATCAAGGGTGGCAATTCGTGTTTGCGAGTCATAATCATTTCGTGTCAACCTAAGGATATTTTACTAAATAATTCAACCCGAACACGATTCTATTTAATATTCCTATCAGGAACCTTCAGTACCAACCCGACATGTTTATTAAACGGGTTACACGTCTAACCTGTTTAATGACTTATTTTCTAAAATAAAACATTATATTATTTTAATTGTTAATAATACTCTATCAAATAATAAATACTAAAAATATATAAGTTTCAATTCAACCAAATTACTAAATAGTCTCTAGTTTACAAAAGAATAAATTATAAAACACAAGTTTAGATAATTATTTTAAAACTTAAATATAAATATATATATGACAAGCATGGTTAAATAGGTATAAACGAGTTACACATGTTTAATCACCTTAACCCAAATACGACACGATTAACTAAACAAGTTAATCGTATCGACCTGTTTACGACTCAAACCCGTTTAACTCTTGTCGTATTAACGAGTCGTGTCAAACTTTGTTACTCATACTCTTTCTCCTTCCAATGCACTATTTTTTCAACAGAAATGATAGGTCTTCCGACTTCAATTGCCGACTCTTCCTCCGAATATAATGTGTTGGATCACGTTAAAACTCTTAAAAAAAATTCCCGTAAATATCTCTTTCTCTTGGACTCATTCCCAACCACGCTGTATTTGGAAGAGGAGTCGGTAATTGACTCTTAAAAAAAATTGTCGTAAATATCTCTTTCTCTTACACTCATTTCCAACCACGTTATATTCGAAAGAAGAGTAAATAATTAAGCTCGGAAAACCTATCAGTTCCCTTTTTTCAATATTCATAATTTATTCTCATTGCCTTAAAGTTATATTTGTAATTTCATTACCTACAACTATAATTAAAAAAATATATATTAAAAATTTGACTTATTAAAAATTCGGTTTCCAGAAGGGAATTATTTTATTATTATTATTATTATTTTGGGGAACAGAAGATGTATTTTATTGCACCAATAATTTGATCAAGGAAAAAAGGAACAATACGCGCCTTAGCGCGTGGTGATGACGTCAGAACGATACTCCACAAGACGGCGCCGACTTAAATAGTTTAAATTTCAAATAGAGACCTTGAGAGAGAACATTATACTCATAGATGTCACATAGCTTCTCTATATATAAATAGTGGCCCATAAAAGAAATTACGTTTCTCTTTTCTCTCTGTACAATTTTTTTTTTTCCTCTCTCCAAAAGCGGAGCCCTAAAGCTGCCCCTTATCTTCTCTTCCCATCGAAGTCCAAATCAATCCAGTGGAAAGTAGCTCATTCGGAGAAGCCAAATCCAACCATAGTTCTCACAGATCGGCTTCTTGAAGTTCAGGTAAATCGTAATTTCGATCTATTTGGAAATAGATCCAATTTCACTCCGATCTGTTTTTTTTTTTTTTTTTTTTTTTTTTAAATGATTTTATTCGTTATAAAATTAGATCAATTTTTGTTGGGGTTTGTGTGTAATTCCATTTATTTTTTGTTTTTTGTTGATGACTGATGACGATTGTATGGAATTTATGGGAACAAATTGATCTTTTTGAGGGTTTCTTTTGGGTGTTGAGCTAGTTGGCTGCGAAATTATAGTTGTGTTTGGATTTGTTGTATTTTGGTTCGTAAGTTCAGAATTTCCAGTTTAAAATGAAATTCTTATTGTTTTTCTATTTGTTACGATCACTTTAAATTTTTATTATTATTTTCAATTATTGAAAATTGTGGGGTGCTATAGATTGGAAACAGAACTTTTTTTTTTTTTTTTAACAGATTCCATTAGAAAAAGGAACACTCTTGATACTTATTGACTATAGGACTTGTTTTAAAGTGGTCAGTGTGTGGACAGTAGCATGTTGAGGTGTTGTATCTGGGTGATTTTTCAAAATCTGTTTGTCTCGTAAAGGAAAAACCAAGCTATCAATTTGAATATTACGTGATACGTAAGTTTGGAAAAAAAATCACAAGGCCCATTGATTTATTATGAAGTTGATTTATACCCTCTTTTGAACATATCGTTCCGGTGTTCTTCAAGGTTCTTTGAACATTTTTAATGAGTTAAGAAATAGAGAGAGCATTTCAGACATCATCATCCTCTATTCTAAGAAGCGCAGATACTTCAACGAGAGCGATGAATCCTCGGATACTTGCGGATACGCGTCTGATACTTCTTAACGTATCCATACTTTTAAAATATATTTTCTAATTTCTAACACGTATGATACTTTTGAGATACTATCCGATGCTTTTTAGATACTTCAATTGCGTATCCGATACTTCTCAAATATTTCATAACACATTTTTAACAAGTTTGAACATTAATCTGTAACTTTTCCAACAAAAATAACATAGTATAATTGATGAAAAAAGTTCAAATTTTATTAGCGATGACCAACTCCTTTAGATTTGCAGAATGATAAATCTCTTGAAATGATCATGAGTAGAGATGCGGCCTGAGTCTTCTACTCCGACCAGTCACCGGAGTCATTTACTCCGGTTAAATCCTTTGTTACTTTTCTGCTTCGCGTTTCTTTTTTCTGTTGGGTTTGGTTTTTGTGGTTTCAGTGGGTGTCTTTCTTTGGCTGCTTTCATGAGAGCCCTCGATGGCCAGAGGTTGTCTTACTTGGAGGTTGCCAGTCTCCTTCGTTTGGATTTGAAAGGCAAGGTGGAGCGTGTTTCATCTTCCAATGATCATGTGTTTCGGGTGGACTCTCACAACACCTCTTCTCGCGAATGTATGCTTAGGGCTTGTCTTGTTGGGAGATTTGATAGAGAGGTGGGGACTTTGGAGAAAATCGAAGAATGGGCTACGAAGACTTGGCTGATCTCGGGTGGGGTTAGGGTTTCTTCTCTGCGCGATGGGCTCTTGCTTTTTCGATTCCCGTCGGTTATTGTTGAACAGAAGGTCCTTTATTGGGGAAAAAAATCATAGGGAGATGCGCAACTTTTCATCGATCTTTGGTAATATAGGGTTAGATGTTTTGGGTTGAGATCGAAGGCTTGGAGAATCATCTTGTACGGCCTTCCCTTGCATCTTTGGTGCCAGAAGCTTTTTGTTGCCATTGGGGATGCTTGTGGAGGGTTTTGGGATGTTGAGGCCTATGAACTGAGTGACACGGAGAGGATTGTGGTCACCGTGGTTGATGGCGGCGTGATTCCGGAGTCCATCGTTGTGGAAGATGGGCGGTGGGCCTTTAGAGTTTCGTTAATTGAAGAAATTACCCCGTCCATTGTGCCGTTGTCCAGGACCTGTGCCGGAAGGGAGGATGTGAGACCACCGGTGGCGTCGGATAGAGGGTCACGTCCGTCGCGCAGGTCTGAATTTGGGGATGGATTTGTGCCGGAGGTTCAGAAGGTGGCTTTGCAGGACCGCCGGTCTCATCGTCAGGGATGCGTGACGTGGAACGCGCCCTAGGCGAGTGGGAGTGGGAGGGAAGCTGCTAGGACATGTGGTTGGTGGAAGAATGACTACCGTTGTGAGTGGATGACAGCTGCTCCACCATGTGCCGAGTCACGTGAGGATAAAGGAGATTTGAATTCTGCAACTGTTGGGCCTGATGGTTTTGGGCCTATTTAGCGTGGGCTTGGGTACGTGGGTTCGAGAGGTGCTGGATGGATTGGGCATGATAGGGTTTTGTCTGGGCCATCAGTTTCTTCTGGGTCTAGACACTCTTCGAGGGTTGATTGGCGGGTTGGTCATGATGGACTCAAGTCCGTTTCTTTTGGGTTGTTCAGGCAAAGGCCAGCTTTTCTACGGAAAGGGTGGTGAGTTGGGGCCCAAATAAGTGTCTTTCAATATCCATTCTTAGTGTGCAGCCTAGCCCAACCTCAGATGTGTTTCCCAGCCTTGGTGTTCTCGATTCTTCTAAGGACAAGGCACAGAGGAGTTCGGACCTGAGATCTTGGTCGAGGAAGGAGAACTGGGCGAAGGTAAGTATGCTCAAGACGAAGGGTGCTGGGGTTTGTTTGAAGAATTTTCGGCATGGTAAATGCTGTCAGAAGTTGCTCCCTAGGAACAGATTTGGCTCGATTCAGTCGGGGTCTTTGGGTGATGATGAGAATGGTGGCTACGCATCCATGAAAGAGGATGGTCTTTCATTCGAGCTTTTCACTTCAGTCCAGTAAGAAATGGACCAGAAAAGACAAATAGAAGTGGGTTGCCCGCAAGGCCCCTCATTCTGATTTAGGTATGTTCTGCTCCTCCCATTCTCGGAGCTCTCCTTCTGCTCTTTTTTCTGTCTCTACTCCTTTTGGGGTGTTGGGAAGCGAGGTGGGGGCGGATTCGGGTGGGAGGCTTTAGATGTTGTCGTCGGTGGTTGAAGTGACTCTATGGATGAGGTGGCGGTTACGAATGGTTCTGGGTTTAGGGTTTTTGGGCTGTCAGAAAGGGATGGGACGGTCAGTTTGCTAGTTGACAGGGGTTATGATGGGTTTTGTGTCGGGCATGCTGAGTCTTGCTCGAATTTGTCTTCCTCTTCTTTGAAATATGCTTCGTCAGGGGAGGAGATGGGTAGGCGGGTTGAGTCTTCTTTGGTTGGTCCGACGACACCTTCGAAGGGTTCTGTACCAGAGTTGTTGACAGTCTGTGTTGGCAAGGATATCCGAATTACCCTCAGTGATGATTCTGCCTCTTTGTTGATTAAGGAGTTGCAGAAGCATAGGTGTCCTGCCCACTGTTGATCCTGACCGTTATGTAAAGGAAGGTGGGTTGGATAGTGGCGTTAATTGGATGTTGTGTTTTGATGAGATGGAGGAGGCCGAGGGAGGAGATGTTGATGGGAGCAGGGTTGATCAGGGCAGGTCTTTTGACATGATATTATGGGAGGAGGAGGAGTCTTGCTAGTTTGGGGATGGTGGATTTGACTATTGTTCGTCCAGAGGGCTTGGACAGTGTGATGGGAAGGCAAGAATGTGATGATACTGGCAAGGATTGGGTCATGGCTAATATCGGGGCCACAAGTGAGTTGTTGGGTGTCTCTTGTAAGGGCAATCGGGATCAGGCCTTAGCAATCCTTCAGGCTATAGTGGAGGGGAGAGAAGGGGAGATGATTCAGTTCTCTAGAAGGAGCAGCAGAAAGAAGAGGATTCTTACTTCTTGGCGAGGGGAGAGGGAGCTGAGGAACCTTTGTTCAGATTTAAACTATGATAGGATGCTTGTGGGGGACAAGGAGAAGGGTAGTGATAAGGGGGGAGGGAGGGGTACAGGAGAGGTGGGTGTGTTTGTTTCCATAGAACCGCTAATGCCCATAGGAGGGGCAACCATATTGGGCGAATGTGTGTGGATGGAACAGTTTTGACTACGGAGGAGGAGGAGGAGGAGGTGCGAAGCGGTATTGTTTCTTTCTATCAAAGGCTTTACTCTGAGACTCTTCGATGGAGGCCACGGCTTGATGGCCTTCACTTTGATTCTATTTCAGCTATGGAGAGGAATGGGTTGGAGAGCCCCTTTACGGAGGAGGTTCTAAAGGCTCTGAAGAGCTGTAATGGTGACAAGGCTCCAAGCCCGAATGGCTTTACGATATTTCTGTTGGAGAGCTGGGAGGTGGTTGGTTAGACATGAGGTTGTGGGCACTTTTCATGAGTTTCATTCTAGTGGGAGGCTCGAAAAATCGTTGAACGCATCTTTTATTGACGTCAAGGACTTTAGACCGATCAGTCTAATTGGGTGTATTTATAAGCTTATCGCTGAAGTTCTTACGTTAAGATTGAGGGAGGTTTTGGATGGAGTCATCTCCGAGTCTCAAAATGCGTTCATTGGGGGTAGACAGATCTTGGATTCCGCTCTCATTGCTAGTGAATGTGTGGATTTTCGACTTAGTAGTGGTGTTCCTGGTGTTCTGTGCAAACTGGATATCGAGAAAGCTTATGATAATGTTTGCTGGAATTTCTTGTTTTATCGGTTAGAGAGGATGGGCTTTAGAGAGAGATGGAGGAAATGGATTGTCACGTGTTTCCTCTATTAGATTTTCGGTGTTGGTGAATGGGTCTTCTTCCAGGTTTTTTTGACAGTTCTCGCGGTCTGAGGCAAGGGGATCCTTTCTCCCCTTTCCTTTTCATTATTGTTATGGATGCCCTTAGTCAGTTGATGAGAAAGGCTGTGAATTTGGGCTTCATTAGGGGTTTCAAGATTGGTCCTGATTCTATCCAGCAGATGGAGATTTCTCACTTGCTTTTTGCGGATGACACTCTGGTTTTCTGTGAGGCAGAGGTGTCCCAGTTTTGTTATTTGAGATGTGTCCTGGTTTGTTTTCAAGCCGTCTCTGGTTTGAAAGTCAACGTGGGAAAGAGCGTGCTTGTCCTTGTGGGGGAGGTTCAGGAGGTGGATACTCTTGCTGTTGTTTTAGGTGTAGGACGAGATGTTTCCCTATTTCGTACTTGGGTTTGCTGCTGGGTGACTCGGCCAGGAGGGTGGGTAGTTGGAACCCGGTGGTTGAGCGGTTTGAGAGAAGGTTGGCTAGATGGAAAAAGCAATATCTCTCGAAGGGTGGTAAAGTTACTTTAGTGAAGAGTGCTTTGTTTAGTCTTCCAACCGATTTTCTCTTGCTTTTTCTGATCCCCCCCTCTATTGTTGGAAGACTTGAGATGTTTCAACGGTATTTTCTTTGGGGTGGTCGGGGGTAGGAGTTCAAGTATCATCTTGTCCGATGGGAGGGCTTGGGATTAGGAGATTGGCCCCTTTCAACAGTGCTCTCCTAGGCAAATGGTTATGGAGATTCGACAGTGAAAGACACAGATTATGGAGGAAGTTAATTTCATGGCGTTTTGGGGAGGAGAGAAGGGGTTGGTCAGCTAGATCGGTCAGGTTTGTTGCCGGCGTGAGGGTGTGGAGATCCCTTGGGAAGGGGTAGGATGAGTTCTCTAAACATATTAGATTCAGAGTTCGGGATGGTAGGGATGTTAGGTTTTGGGAGGATACCTGGTGCGGATTCCCTAACTTGGGTGTCGTCTGTGCGGAGGACCTTTTAGGTCCGGTCCTTCTTTTTCTGTCTTTCTGGGTTTCAAGGTACAAATTTCCCGTGGAAGATGGTTTGGTTGTCAAAGGCGCCTCTTAGGGTGGCCTTTTTTTTGTGAACTGTAGCTTGGGGTAAGATTTTGACTCTGGACAATTTGAGAAAGAGAAGACAAATCATTGTTAATCAGTGTTGTCTTTATAAGAATTATGGAGAGTTCGTGGATCACCTTCTTCTACATTGTACTGTGGCCCATGACTGTTGGAGTCTTATTTTGGGACTTTTTGGTGTCCTTTGCGTCATGCCCTGGACCTCAAGGGATTTAATGGATATGTGGAGGGGCCAAAGGATGGGGTTGCATGTTAGGGACTTTTGGAGGGTGACCCTCCTTTGTGTTTGGTGGAGCCTTTGGAAAGAGTGGAATAGAAGATCTTTTGATGGGGAGGAATCTTCCATTGGGGCATTGAAGTTTTCTATTATTTTCTCTCTCTTTTGTTGGGGTTGGGGGAGAAATTATTCATCTATAGATGAAATTGTGGACTTTTTGGGTTCTTTGGAACCATAGGTCGTTCCCCTTTTCTTTTTCCAATGGCTTTTGTACAGCACTTGGGACGCGTTCCGCTTTGAACACTTTCTAATATATTTTTAATTATCAAAAAAAAAAATAATAATAATAATTTTTTTTTATATATAAAAATATAATTTATTATTTTTCTATTGTTGTAACTTGCCGTACCCGTATCTTGTTTTTTTTTTAAAAAAAATTTGTTGTATCGTCGTACCTGTATTGTGTCATATCCGTATCTGTGCTTCTTAGGCTCTATTTGATATGAAGCTTTTAAGAAGAGAATGGGCTTATTAATGTTTTTGGATTTGTGACTCTCTCTGTGAAATGCTTTTTGATTTGTGACTCTCTATGAAATGTGAAGGTTTTTGAGATACACATTTTGAATGGGCAATATTTTGGATTCTGTAGAAGCAGATTGGCCCAGGAGGCTGAGTGGCCGACTAGTCTATTACTTGTAGCAGATAATGCAGTATTTTTCATAAATTATCGTACTCTGTCCTTAGTTTTACTTAAAAATATTTAAAATTTTCATGACATTGACAAACAATCAATTAGAAACTTATGCACATGAAGCATGCGGGTCATGAAGTTTTGAGTGGTTTGATAGTTATTAGGAAAAATTTCATGGCTATGGTAACTGTCTTGCCAATACTAGTATCGTTGTACTGTGACAATTACTGTTGTGTGCCCATTAACGTGATTTAAAACCATGGCGGCAACTTGCAATTCATTTAACTATTTCTAGTTGTGTGTGTATATATATATATATTTGTAATAGAAAGATATTCTTCATATTTGTTTCCATTTGGTTTCCTGGTAATAAGGATCAAACAATTTAGGCTGGGAACTCTTGTCTGATTTGACTAGTTATGAAACTCGCACTTGAAAGTTGGGAAAGTAGGGGGAAATACCAGTAAGAAACAAACAATAAATTGGTTTTGGAAGGTTTTCATATCAAAGCGATCATATGAGATTTTAAAAGATCAGAGTAGCAGCAAGGTAGATGAAATGTTAATAATAGCCTTGTGTATTAACGGAGGGAAAGTCCATAAATAGAGGTGGATGGCAAAAAAAAAATGAAGGTGCAGATCCCTAGTGATTGGGAGAAGTTGGGATCAGATGCTATAATATGTCTTTTATTTGTGATCTTTGTACCAAAAAGGGGAAAAAAGATCCTGTGATCAATGGTTTTCTGTAGCTAATACTTCAATAATATTGAGATCAGAGAATCGACATTCTTTGGAAAAAGAATGTGGTCTTGAGGTTACCATATGAATGATACCAATTATCCTGTCAAAGAGTAATTCTGTCATCGGTTGAAAGAGTGTCTGACATGCTGGTGGAAAGTAGGGTTTTCCGATATATTGTCATCTCTCTCAAGAAACGAAACAATCACGTCAAGTTTGCATTGGGCATTAAATTTGCATAAATAAAATTTTTCCTTCTTGTGGAGAGTAGGGTTGTTCTTTGTTCTTTGCTGAAACCTTGCTTTTTGCATACATAATATATATATATATATATATATTTGCTGGGTTTATATTTGTCACATTAATATTAATCTATTCCAAAACTTGAGTAATATTTTCTTTACTGTAATAGTGTATGTTTTCTTGTATTTTATAAAGTATGAACTGATGTCATATTTTCTGTTGACTTTGAGTTATATTATGGAGTAAACCTAGCACGAAGTTTTTACAAGGTGCACTTGAGGGCTCTCTTTATTTAGTAATTAGGATCTGTAGGTGTTCTTCTTCTTCTTTTTTAATTTTTAATTTTTAATTTTTATTTTTAAATTAAGGTGTAATGGGTTTATTTTATTCATAATTTCGCACATACTTAATCTATATATTATGAGTATTAGGTGTTTTAGAAATAATTTCTTATTTAAAGCGCTGCTGTATTTATTTAATATCTTACAGGCTTTACAGTTCAAATTATCCTGCTGCTGCCTTGTGGGAGGCACCCGACATCTTAGTGGTTGTGTTGTTTTATTGACATCTCAAAATGCCAAAGGAGAAAAGAGATCGTTCTGTGTCTTTCAATAGGTCTAGGGCATCTCCTTTTCCATGCAGCTCCAGTGGTTGCTCAAGACGACAGTTGCCCAAGAGCCCTTCTGAAAGTGAGGAGAACGTAAAAGAATGGGAGGACGCACGATGCCCCGTCTGCATGGAACATCCTCATAATGCTGTTCTCCTCAAATGCTCCTCCCATGAGAAAGGCTGCCGTCCTTACATGTGTGACACAAGCTACCGTCACTCAAACTGTTTTGACCAGTTTCGCAAGTCATTTGTAGAAACCTCTTCAGCAGTGGTACTGTCTCCACAAGGAGAAATTCCTCCCTCGACTACTCGCACAACCCACACAATGATTTCAGAAGCAACAGTCACTGATTTGCATGGTGAAAGAAGTGAGGAAGGGTCAACCTCCTTGTCTTGTGAGAACAAAGACAAGTCAAAGCTGGTATGTCCTCTTTGTCGTGGGCAGGTAAATGGGTGGACTGTTGAGGAGTCTGCTCGTCATTTCATGAATGCAAAATCAAGAAGCTGTGCTTGTGAGACGTGTGATTTCAGCGGCACATATACAGATTTGAGGAAACATGCAAGATTGGTGCACCCCTTTGTGCGGCCATCAGAGGCTGACCCAGAGAGGCAGCAAAACTGGAGGAGGTTGGAGCGGCAGAGAGATCTTGGAGACTTGATTAGCACACTACAGTCTTCTATTGGAGAGGAGAGGAGTGAAGAAAGCTCTTTACCTTTTGATGAAGGAGGTTGGCTGAGTGTGTTTTTCCTTGTTCGAGTTTTCCGACCTGAGAGTGGTTCAAGGAGCAGTAGCCGGTCTGGTACCTCGAGAATGACTGTTAGAAGGAGATCAACAAGGCATTGGGGGGAGAATTATGATAGGGGTGCTGAATCTGCTTTAGGAGAGGGTGATAATGAGTCCTCGGATGATGGGTCGGTTCCCCGCAGGCTCCATGAGTGAATCTGGTGGCGACCAGCACTAGCTGATGAGTCGTGTCTTTAAAACTTTCAATTTGCTTCATATTTTTTCTTTGGATGTTTCAATTGTAAGTATTGCTTCAATTATGCCTAATATAGCTGATTTTTTTTTTTTTTAGATTTTAATTCTGATTTATGAATGAAGTGGATGGGGTCTTAACTCTTAATTGCTTCTTGTTGTTTCAGGTAGGACAAAGGGAAGAAATGCTAGTTCTTTTTCTAATGCTTTGGAATCTGTTCTGTTGAGCGCGGAATAGTTACGAAACAGAGAAAGTGAACACAAATTGTAAATTTAATTTAATTTATTTTCAGTGAAAAAGTATATACCGTTGGTAAATGTTTATAGCAAAATGCTTGGGGGTTTATTTGAATCTGAGTACAATTTTAAGTCATTTGGCAATCTTGTGATATCCTTCTACAAAAGGGCTTTTATTAGTTTCATATGCTTGTGCTGCTCTCGTGGGTCTGTTCTCTTCTTCTATTGGCGGGTGTGTATGGGCGCAGAAACTGTTTAGTTTAGATGAGTGCAGTTGATTGTGTCTCTATTATTATGATAATGTCACTGGATATGTGGTAAGCTTGAGGTGTCTGGATAAGCTGGAAGTAATTGTGTTGACAAGAGTTTTCTGCGTAATTAAATTTAATTTCAATGCCTTATTTCAAATTGGAAGTAATGGTGTTGAGATCCTGAATCAAGCTTGTGAAAATCTGGTTATTTTCATAATACAATCTCACCTGGCCCCTCTAGGATGATTGATGAATGCTAGCAAGTGGCTTGGAGATTTACTATTGGTCATGCCTCTGCAAGTATATCTCTTTGTTAAAGCTCTTGTTTGCATGTAAGGAAAAAAAATAAAAAACACTTGTATGCATGTATTGCCAACTGCCTAGTAACATTCTTGTTAGTTAGTTTAAAAATATAAAACGTTCTTCATCCCGACGCTTCTCAGTTTAGCCTCAAATTTTTACAAGATTTTAGAGGATTTATGTAAAATAAATAAATAAAAGTCCACTTGCGACATTTTCTTTTTGTAACAATTCATCTGACCAATATTATATATATATATATATATATATATCAGATTAAGATGTATATATATATATCAGTAAGTGCTGCCAAAAATTGGTACAATGATTAATTTTTTTTATTAATATTACTTTTTCACTTACTAATAATGTAATAGTGTATTGATTGTCATTATACTATTGATTGGGGACCCAATTTATCTTCCGAAAAAAAAAAAAAAAAAATCAAGACCCAATTTCCCTTTTTCCATTTCTACCCCTCCTTGTTTCCCATAATTCTATCCTTCCCTTCTCTGGCCGGAGATATATCTCAGAGACTCATCATTTGTTTCTTGAGAATTGACTGAGAAAGTAACTAGTCTTGGATCGTTTCTCGACAATTCTTGAGAAAATTTATAGAAGTATTGAATATCAAATGGGGACAGAAAACGCTTCGAACTCAACATCTGAAGTTGGCGGTGGCGGCGAAAATACCTATTACGAGACCCAAGTTGCGTTGAATGTGTACGATCTCTCACCACTCAACCAGTACACCTTCTGGGTTGGTTTCGGAATCTTTCATTCTGGTATTGAAGGTGAGAAAATTCTGATTTCTAAGCTTGATTCGATATACATATTTGCATATACGCGTCTATGCAACTTTATGGGTATATAGATTTTGCCTTTTTTTTTTTTTTGGTTTTCCTATGAGAATGTGAATTGGGTTCTGACTATTGTTTCAAAAGTTCATTGGCTTTTTATAGAATAATGTAAATTATAACTCAAGATTTGATATGGTCTTTCACCGGGAAAAAAGAAAAGAAAAGAAAAGAAAAAAGATTTAGTATAAGCCTCCTTTTATTTAATGATTTATTTATGGTTTCTTTCATATATAAATATATATATTGGATCAAGTTGTTCCAGAACTTGAAGATGAACTTACTACGGAGTACGGAACTGTGAGTTGTTTATTGTTCTGTTTCATATTATTTCCTTGGCTTTGATTTAATGTTTTCTCGGGTTTAATCCACTTGTTATCCCAGAATTAGAATTGGAAATTATTGTGATTAAGCTTGGAAGGGAAAACCTCATTAAAGAGGATAGAATTTGTGAGACATCTCATACATGTACTTTGACAGAAAGTTTATATAATTATGCATATATTGGAGTGATCTGCATTTGAAATTGTTAGCAATGATTTAGGCTGGGATAACTGATTGAATAATTGGATCTCAAGAGGTATCTTTCTATTGTTGATTCGATTTGTATGATGATTGGGCAAAATAATCACATAAATGGCTATTTATATGAGAGAGATGCTAGCCAAGAGTAATGCAAAGGGGGAGGAAAGGCCAAATTGACATGAGTTAAGTTGGCAAGTAAAATCATAATAGCATATGATTGACCGAGGTTATGGTCTTGGAACAGTATGGCAAAAAATAAGGTCTATGTAGCTGACGCCAAATAGTTGTGAACACTCTCTTGAGCTGAGTTACAAACTTGTAACTAATTAGCATAGATGTACCAAACATGGTTTTCAAAAGGCCAGTGGAGTGCCCAGGCAGTGCAAGCACCATTGGTGGGTGTTGTTCAACAAAAGCATGAATCCTTTTATCAGGCAATACCTCTAGGATATGGCTTATTGATCAGAAAGAGAGAAGATGGGATCAAGATATATCATAAGTGGGGGTCAGGGATTCCCAAGGGATGCCAACTTTCAAGCAGATGAATGGCCAACTTGAAAGCGTCAGTGATGGAGCCATTAGGGGCCATTTCTCCAATGTTTTTTAAGGATGGTGTTGGGGTGGAATAGGTCTACCATGAAGGACTGCTTTATTTTCTCTTTCATGTTATTGTGCATTTTGTTTTTTCTTTTCATTTTTATTTTCAGCTTGAAGAATTTCTCAAATTATTACTTTTTATACTCCTCTTTCCTCGTTTCCATAAATATTATATTAATTCTTGTTTCTTATCAAAAAATAGAAAGGTACAAAATATTGGCAAAATTGATGCAATGTAGATATATGGACAGAGTTATCACAGATATTTCATTCCATAGGTGAATATATATATATATATATATACACACATTATTCCATTTAAAGCACTAATGCTTTGTTGCCTTCATTCAAAAACATTTTTTTCTTTAAAAAGTGTCATTTCTATGAAACAAGAGGAAAGTGTTAAATGGGTTTTTTTTGCCCTATGTTACTCTTAGGGCTTCAATCTGAAAATGTTTTTAAGTTCTGTGCAAAATAATGCCACGAGTGGGTTGGATATTGCGCACGGACTGCTTATTATATTATTTTGGAAGTTTGAATTATCCCTTACTAATTCATATATCTTGATTTATAATTCAAGCTTAAAAATTCTATGGGGAATTGAATTTTGGAGTGATATATATATTTCATTTTTTGTCTGTTAACTACCTTTTACAAATTAAGACCTGGCGTGGTGTGTAGTGCCTTAAGAACCATAGGATTCTAGCACCTATATCACATCTTTTACCTTCACAACATTAATGTTGTTGGCCATTTCTGATTTAGTTCAATAACTTCAATTCTCTTAAAGAATATCTTCTCCTGCTGATCCTCATGAATTTGACGTTAGAATATTGGGGCTGTGGTCCTATGTTTCTGTCTTGATCTTCACACTGTTCATGGGGAGTTAAGATTGGATCAATCAAGAGGAATCATATTTTTTGGTTTTAGGTTCATTTTGAGAGTAAGAGAGTTGTATTAACAATCTTTTTATTTTTTTATTTTAAAGTCATCTAATTTTAGAATGTTGATTTCATTACTTCATTTTTTATCTGATGACTAGCAAGATGTTTCAGCCTATGGCAAGGAATATGGATTTGGAGCCCATGACTTCCCTGTTAGTGGAGTGTTCGAAGTGGAACCAAAGAGCTGCCCGGGTTTTATCTTCAGATGTTCCATCCCACTGGGACGTATAAGTATGCCTCTCTCTGAATTCCGGTTGTTTATTGAGAGCATTGCTCCTGAGTATCACGGGGATACTTATCACCTCATCTCCAAGAACTGCAACCATTTTACAGATGACCTCGCAATGAGATTGACAGGGAAGCGGATCCCTGGGTGGGTGAATCGGCTTGCTCGGCTAGGTGTGTTGATTTTATCTCATTTGCTAATGCTTCTTCATTCACTCTCTTCTTTTCATGTTTTACCTCCACTATAATATACTGGATATGTTTTTTTTTTAGGTTTTTTTCTGAATATCATTGCAGGTTGTGGTTTTCTTCATGTCAAAAAATTGTTTTTGCATTCTAAAATCCAACCTTACTTGTTTTGTGGCATTTGTTTAAACCTCTGAAATAGAAATTACTCCACTGCAATGTACATGGAATTTATAGAGTCAGTTGTTGGTTTTTGTTTTTTTTTTTCCTTAATCACGTTCATAATGAATATATATAATATTTTTTGTAGGATTATAGTGTTAAGTGTTTGAACAAATGACATCATATCCACTTTCCTTATCATATTTGGTGATGGCTCAATTGTCTGCAATGCTGGATATGAATATTCAATTGCAATTGAAGTTAGGCTATGTTCGGCTGCATGGAATTGAATCCTTGGAATTGGAATTGGAGAAAAGCAACCGAGAAAATTGAACTAAAATTTTCTCCAATCCAAGGCTCCAATTCCGTGCAGCCAAAATGATTTCGTCTCCATGAGACACTCAAAAGCCTCCTTATGAAGCAGGTTTAGTTTGTTTGTTTGACTTTTAAAACGTCTTTTGTTCCTGGGTTACACGTTGGAAATTGTTTTAACAAAGAAACATATATTCTTGCAGAAAGAGTTTCTTGATGAGAACTACTGTAGCTTATGAAATTGTGGTTGTAGGATTTTAAATTCCGTGGTAGGTTGAGTTCCATCTCCATTGATTATGATGGGCTTTGCTTTATTTTACATTCCTCTTTTATAAAAGAGAAAAATGGATTACCCGAATTTTGTTCAAGTCTTTTCATTGATGTCATCTTTTTCATGATCCATAGACTAGAACCAATGTACAATTTGGTCCAAATTTCAGGTGCTTTGTGCAGTTGCTTGCTACCTGAAAGCCTACAAGTATCTGCTGTTAAACAGCTTCCTGAATACCACGCATGTACAGGTGCGTGGTTGGTCCATAAATATTCCCTTCGTTTTTATTCTACTTAGGTACTAGTCTTTGTGCTGCTGCTCGACTTTGGACATTTGTGATTTTTGTTTCTGTAATTGCATCCAGAAGAAGATGGGACCGACTCAATTTCCACCCCCCTTGAGCCATTGGAGAGTGATGATACAGATCAAGATAAGCGCCTTCTGCCACCATCAGCTGGAACTTCGGAAGTTTCCTTCATAAAAGAAGTCCAGATGTGAAACTAATCTGCCTTCTTGAAACTGACTTTGTCGGGGGTCTTGGGAAGTTGGAAGAGAATCCCTTTTTGATGTGATATTTCTTTTGAGAAAAAGGTTGCTTGAGGGAAGCACCCACTTCCCATTGTTAATGGGCAAAGCTGCCATTCATCATTTGTCAGCGCTTATATATTCACTAGTGTTTGTGCGATTTGTTGTAGTTTTTCTTCCATTCTTTTCGTGTTTGCACGATTTGTTGTAGTTTTCCTTCCATTTGATTTTCCACTTCTTATACTTTCTGTGTCTTTCATTTCTAAAAATTTTGGAATTGAAGAAATTGGAAGTTGAAAGAAGTGGATTGTAAATGATGATTTTGTATGATTTTTTGTGCATTGGGCTGTAAGGAATTGGAAATGGCTTCTCCACGATTATATTTTGTGAATAATTTTGAGTTTGGAATTTCCTGGATATATTATTACTCTCTGACTCATCCACCACCCCCGGCATGTAAGATTTGAATTGAACTCCACATTCTGCCCAAATATCTTCTGTGCAGAAAGGATTTTCACTCATGCAAATGGCGCTGAAAGATGAACATGCTACTGTTGGCTTTGTGGCCCAATTGAATTGGTATCAGTAATGAAATGACTGGACGTGCTATTGTATGTTTTGTTTGTTATCAAGCATGAAGAGTAATGCTAGCGACAGTCGCCCCACCAATCAACACCCGAGAGACTCTTCTCTCTTTTGATTGGTTGAACCACTTATTGTATTTTTTTTTGTTTATTTTCAATTGTTGTATCTCTCATTATTTCACAGATGTCAACCAATCACAAGAGTACCCCGAGTGTTGTAATACCAATCATCAGGGCGACATCGTTGGACAGGCTAGGCTGTCACTGGCATTAATCCAAGCATGAAATGACCATAATGCTAAGGGACCATGATACAGATGACATTGAACCTTGGAACTTGCAGCATGCAACCATACAGATAGTAGAAGAAAGTGTTTTAGAACATCATGGCGATGGCCAGATGGGGAACACAAGTTGCATAATCTTGTCATTTCCATACCTCACAAGCGATGACGCTTACACAGGTCTGAAGAGCCCCCCAAAAAAAAAAAAAAACACTGTAGATACCTGCAGATGCAGCGTGCTATGCACCAAGATGCAAACTAACAGTTGACACACTTGCATTGGATTCCCAATAAAAGAATTCAGAGTGCCACTAATATTCATATGATCCATAAGAACAATTCCATCTAATGCCATCAAACCAAACATGGAAAACGTACAAACACAGGATTAATTTGACCGCAGAGATTAATGTCACTGTACCATATATCTCAATCTCACAACCAGATCCATCTTTAGATACCTTTCACATCATAAATAATTCTGTCCAAATTTTCTTGCTCTTCACCTCACAATATAATTTTAATTTTGCATTGCACCAAATTATGAATGCCCTTCAAGCCCCAACTTTGATGTTAGCCAACTGCATACCTCATCCATCTCTTCAGGATTTGTGAAGTGGCCAAGCCTGCAGAGTCACATTATTTCTCAAAGTTGCTACTAATTTTTCACCAAAATCAAGTGTAATAATAATTGATGGGGAATAATAAGTTACATACCCAGTGTAGGATCTGAACACCACATCTTGAAATCCTGATGAACCCAAAGCCTGTGATGATTTCTCCCCAAATTTATAAGGAACCACATCATCAACTGAAACAGGTTGGTACCAAAGTCACAGTTTATAACTGCAGCTTATATGAGTAAAAGAACAATTATACAAGTAGAGATAAGAGAAGAAGAGATCAAAATAAAGCTAGGAATTATTCAGGCCCAATTGAAATATGGAAACAGTCTCACCACTTGCGTAGGTAAGGCTGTGTACATCTGACCCTCTCCAAATTGTGCACTGGGTTTGCCCCTTCATTTTAATTCAGGCCCAAAAAATATAAAATACTACTTAAGTCACAAATTGCCAAATTCAAGTTCTTCGAGCAACAAAGCTCTGAACTTAGTAGGCTCAAAGCTCAGTCTGCATAGCAAATAAGTGAGTCCAACTAACTATTCAGCGGAGCTCAGTTCATGAGCATCTCTACGAATTTCCAAATGTGCATCATGAAGTTAAGTATAAATTTTCAATTTCAGACATAGATGTTTCAGCCACCCATTAAGTAAATCCTATGTTTTGATATGAGAGATAAACGTGAATACCTTTACCATGACAAAGCATAATGGGCAAGGATGCAGCACGCCTTGCAGCCTCGTCTACCTCCGCAATCTTCTTAGTCAAGTTCCTGGAGAACAATGGAAGTAGATAGATAAATCCAATGCAGCAGAATAAGTCGCAAGAAAAAATAGAGGGTAATGTTTTTTAAAGTCAAACTTTGAGCATGGAAGCCAGCCGCTTAATCCCACAACTGCACTTAATTTCGCAGGGTATGGATTGTCATTCCCATATTTTCCTAGAGCAAAGCAAGTTGCAGAGTAAAGGGAGGTTGCTGCACCCATACTGAATCCTCCAACACCAAGCTTAACTGTAATAGAAAGAAATGAGAAATAAAATCTTCAGGAAAAATATAAGAAATACGAAGTCAATTGATATGATACCAAATTAAACTATAAATTAGGTGATACCCACAGAGTAGGTGCTCAGGGACCAGATGGTATTGAAATGGTTCCATTGTGCTTCTCATGGCACTTGAAAATACCGATTAATCCTTAAACTCATTACAAAGAATAAAGTGCTAATCATAATTTATAAATGCAAAAAAGATAAGTTCAACGTCATTTCATTCAGTCCTGACACTTATTGTGCACAAAATGTCAAAATCTCATTTCCAATACTATGTAAACTGGAATCAATTTAAATTCCATGAAGAAAACAAAGGAAAAAAACTAATTCCCATTTCCAATTGTCTTTATCATATACCAATCACAACCTTATAGATATAGGTAGTAACAATATCATGCACATGCATATAAAATACAACTCATATAACTTGGAGACCAACACAATGTAATATATATTGATCCTAAAAACTGATGCAGTAGTACGTGATACAGAAATTACATGAATACTGAAGGTATTCTTATATTATCAGTTAAGATGGCATAACAACAAAAACTGAGTGAGACTGACGAGGAAAAAAAAAAAAAAACTTAAATGAAAATGAAGATAAAATGAAAAGGAGAATCAGGAAAGTTGTGCATCTCATAATTTTCTAAGTAATACTTGCTCTTAGTTATATCAACGCTTATCAAGGAAACACAGAAAATATACCAAATTCTTTGAATCTATAACAAGCCTGAATTTAAGAGGCTGTTATAAGATTCTCACTTCTCTTATTCTTTCCAGTGACTTCTTAGCAGTCAAGCAGAGAATTATGTCTCAGAGATTTCAACACAAAAAGCACACAGGAGTGACCACTGGAACTTCTCAAATGAAGGGAACATCATTGCACGTCGGGAAAAAGATACTAGCAAGCAGTGAGAGAACCTACTGTCAGCGGGCTCCGTTGATAACAAACTTGCAACATGTGCTGCTGAAGCATCCAAACCCTCCAAATCATCATGAGCATTTTCCGAAAGGTCCTTTACATCAAACCCTAAATTAAATCATACAAGAATTCATAAAATATTTATTAGCAGGACAAACAGCAGATTTTTGTTTCCAAATATATGTAACACATCAAGTTTTACTTCAGGATTATAACACAATTTTCCCTCTTGTAAGGAAAGTTCATGAAAAGGAAGATAGTTATTTATTTATTTATTTTTCTCCCCTCTTTCTTTAAAATTCAAATTCGAACCCAACTACTTTAATTACAGTACCAAATTGTACAACTTCTAACTCAGGATTGCAACAACCATTACAAATCAAAAGGAAAATAATGGTAGCTTCTCAAAGCAATAAAACTTACAAGCAGTTGAGGGAAAACCACCAAATAATGTTATTGGTTGAGAAGGAGCAGTTGGGCAGATCCATTTAATCTGCATCAAATATATTTAACCAAAATACATTGTGATTCTATAAATGAAAAGGATGTCCTTTTCTATTGCAAATCAGACAAACGCTTCATATAATTGCCTATATATGAAACGATCTCAAGATATCCTTACATTTGGAAGAGGAAGAGTCTCCAAGAGTTGGGACCAGCTGCCAATAAAAACCAATGAACAAACTGAGGGTCAGCATCATATCCATGTAAAAAGTGTATGATACTGTAATTGAAACAATTTACTTTATTCTACATAAAAACTGAACACATAAAGTGCAAGCTTAATAGTTCACAAAAATCATCAAAACCACAGATTTGGATTACACACTTAATTTTAGTACAACAATAATTAAAACAACAGTAAAAATAAAAAATAAATTAAAAAAGAAAATAAAATAAAATACTCACTCAAATGTAAAGAACATTATGAACTGATTATATATATATATATATTTTATGGACAGCCAAGTATTGCACTAGAGTACACAGCTGGGAAAACAATAAAAAATGCATTCTGAAACAAAAAAAAAAGTGAACGCAAACATATCACTAGTTCTTGTCATGACTGAACACAATATTACTAACTTGAAAGACGGCAGAATCACAATCACATTAAACCATTCAAACAGTATTAGGAACCCCAATTTAAAGCTTCATTACATGCGCATACTTGTGTTCTGGTGTGTGTGTATGTGCGTGCGAGATAGAGAGCAAGACTCTTCGTATACACAGGGATACATGTCTTGGTACTTCCAAACTAAGAAGCACGAACACTTCTCTTGGGTTCCCGTGGCCGTGTCCGACATCAACACAAACAAAAATATTAGTTATGAGCATAATAATGATTTCAACAAAACCTATCACACACAAATTCACAATAGTAAGTAAGAGTCTCTCATATAGTTTTGCATGTACACAACTTAAAACAGAAAACACAAAAAAAAATAAAAGTTTATAGATAACATTCAGATTTGTTAAAGACTTGAATAAAATGAAGTAAAAAAATAAAAATTTAACATGTTTAAAAATCATAGACATGGTTCCACAATGAAAGATATAGAACATTTATTTTATACTTTCTATTATTACATGGCCCAAGCAAACCACAAAAGAGCTATTCAAAATCTCAAACGAAATATAAAATAAAAAAAAAATGTCTTTTCATGTAGAAATGGTATAAAAGAAAAGATTGAATTGCATCTGGACCACAAGTGGCCGGAAATGTTAACATTACCTTGCACCATTATCACCGAGGCCATGTAGCCAGACCATAGTGGCCTGGTGTTTGCCTTTGGGCCTGACCACATAGGTTTTTCCAAACTCAAATGATCTTTTAAAAGTTCTACTGCCTGAAATGGAATTGAAATGCATTTCCTAAAACAAGTCACAAAGTTGATAATACCAACTCCACTGAAATATAATCAATCCAATTTTTTTTTTCGTACATTGAAGATGATTCAATAAATTAATGCTCCATTTGGTTGATGGAAAATTTAGGAGAAGTGAAAGAAACTAAAACTTTTGAATATTGAATTACATCATTTTGGACCCAAAACATCAATAATTTTCATTCAATAGAACCTAAATAAACCAACCAAGAATCTTATTTTTCTAGGAACCAGTAAGGCAAAACTTCTTCTTTTATCCCCTTTTCAATTATTCAATTCTTGGCAACCATTAAACTAGAAAATCTAGAAACACACAAGACTAGGAACAAACTAACCTGAACCCATAGAAGAACCACCAAAACTCATTGCGAAAAGTGGGTCGATGGTGATTGCTATAAGTTCCTGCAACGAAAGCAAACCCAAATTGACATTATCCATAAAATCCCATTTTGGGTGCTATAAAAAACCATAAATTTGTATCAATATCAACATTATGCTGAACACATCCACAAAAATAAAATTAAAAGCAGCATATTTTAACTAGGAAACCTGATTTCCATTAAGTTGATTAAAAACATTAAAAATTGGTTAAACCCATTACCACAATTACACCCAAAAAAACATAAACATAAACATATATATATATATATATATATATATCGAAAAAAGATCTGCAAGAATGAAGAAAATAAAAGAGTGAAAGACACAGACATTGTAGTTTTAAACATCAGTACAGACCTGGGCGGATCAGAAACAAAGGAAGTTGGAGACTCCAAAGGGAGAGTACGCTCTCTCTCTCTCTCTCTAGAGATCTCAGTTCTCTCTGTAGAAAGTTCGCTGGCGTCCCCTATTTTTTTCTCATCCTCGCGTTTTGTTAGTTGTATATACAACACACATACACTCATACTCTACGAGAAACATTACCAGAAAAGAAGATCTCGACTCTAAAACGCTCAGACTTAGAATTCCATACAAGCAAGATCTAAAAGGAAAAGATATATCTTCCACCATTCGATCCAGAGATTATGATGTGTGCATGATCGAGGCCGCGAGCATACGGTGAGTGCACCATCATGATAGTAGTGCTCAGCCTAAACTAAAGAAAGTATATATGGCATTTTCCTTGAATTTTTTTTTTTTTTTTGGTTCAACACAAGAAAAGCTTTTATTAGAGAAACTCAAATATGAATCCAATCCATATAAACCCCTCGGAGAGCATCGTACAAGGGTTGAAATGAATCCAATCCATATAAACCCCTCTCGGAGAGCATCGTACAAGGGTTGAAATAATATAGTTTTATTCATGAAATTTGATTTTTATAACTAGAATTGGAAAAAAAAAAAAAAATTTGTTTAAGATTTAAAATAATATATATATATATATATTTTCTTCAAAACTTGAATATTATGCTACCAAATGCAGTTTTCTAAATTATAAAATAAAATATCAAATTATTATAGAAAATTATATAAAAGAAATTTTAAAATAAAAATAAAAAGGAAGGAAAGCCCTTTTAAGAATAAAACTCAAGTCCTCTCTGATCTTTGTCCCTTATGTAAATCAATAATAAATTGACATATCGTCTTTAATTATTAAATTAAAGATAGTGAATATATCTTTAATTACTAAATAAAAAATAATAAAGTATATATTATTTAATTTTTTATTTTATAATTAAAAAGAATTTATCCATTTGTTATTAGTTAAAGTTAAATAAAAAATAAAATTAAAACTTTGATAAATTTAGAGCTACGGCTTGGGAGACGGAGGGGGGGTTGTGTTTGGACGCAAGGTCTGAGGTTTGAAGTTGAGATTCAGTTGGATGGACACTTAAAATTATTTGTCTATAATTAGGGTAAGTTGTTTTTGTTAAGTTTTGAAAAAATATTTTATTTAGTTTTCGAATTATCAAATATTAAAAATAATAATAAAATAAAATTTTTGAAAATTATTTTACATTCAAACAAAATGAGCTAAAGTCATCAACTCATACTTCAATAAAAAAAAAAAGATGGGTAAAGTACAGCAACAGTCTATGAGGTTTGTCAAAAAGACATTAAGAGGAAAGTTTGCATATCTTGGGACAATGACACCCCCTGAAGTTTGATACATCCACTAAAGACACCCCAATGATAATAAAATAACATTTTTACACTTTGACTTTTATATTGAATAATTTAAATACTGAAATGGCCTTTCTAATCTTATACCCATAACAATTTCTTTCTTTCTCTCCTCTCTATTTTCTCTTCTTCAGCCCCCAACACCAACACACACTGTCACACATATACACACAAACTGTCACACAAATGATGCATTCATACTTATTTAATAAATAATATATCAATTACTTGATATTTTTTTCGGTTAATAAATCTAATTACTTTGATGTGTTCCTTGGGCAGAACCAAGTTTTAACTTTTGGCCATTTTATGGTTATTAAATTCTCCAAATAACTTGGTGGGTTGATTTGATGATGTAAGTTGTTTTGAAATTTCTATTATTTTTATAGATGTAATTTTTCTGGCTTTGGTTTTAAATTTTCCAATGTTTATGTCCAACCCCTCCTATTTGCAGTGTTTGTCAAATTCAGTGAGACTAGAAAAATTATATCTACAAAATATGGATTTTGGTTGTTGGATGCATTAGGACATTTGTTATGATTTAGCCGTAGCAATATTTAAATACTCCACTTTAAATTTTTATGTTTGTGTGTATGTGTAACAGTGTGTATTGGTGTTGGGGGCTGAGGAAGAGAAAATAGAAAAGGAGAGAAGGAAAGAAATTGTTATGGGTTTGAGGTTAGAAGCGTTATTTCAGTATTTATTAGTCAATATAAAAGTCAAAGGGTAAAAATATCAATTTATTACCATTGGGGTGTCTTTGATAGATGTATCAAACTTTATATGATGTCATTAATTCAAAATAGACAAACTTTATTATGTACTTTTAACAAACTTTATTATGTAATTTATTATGTACTTTTAACAAACCTCAAGTTGCTTTACCCATAAAAAAAATAAAAAATAAAGGTCATTTTGATAAGAAATACTGTATCAAATAATGCAAAAGAGGTACAGTTTTGAGTCTTAAAGACTGGATTCATTTGATTCAAAATAGACAAACCTTATTACTGATTCAAGATTCAAAATAGACAAACCTTATTACTGATTCAAGATTCATTTGATTTCGGTTTAACAGTACCTAAACTACACATTGATGCAAGAAACTAATCAATGCCATTGCACCTTGTGAACAACAGAAAAGAAATGAAAACAAGCCATTTGGACAACCAACTCTTCCGTTTTTTGTAATCCACAAAATTGCCCAAAAGAGGTCTTAAGAAAATAACAAGAATATACCTTGCCAATGAATCAGGGTTAAGAAAATGAAAGAAGAAAACAAGAGTGATTCCAAGAGCTACCGGCCTGATAGGACCGACAAAGAATATGAGTATGTGGATGAGGAAGCAAGATTACAATCTACTTGTTGTGTTGCCATTGTAGCGATTCTTGGCCTGTCGTGAACAGAGCTTGTCTCTTCATCACTTGATAGAAGGTCAACAATGATCATTTGTGTTTCAGGGGGCTCTTCTATGGCTACACGCCCTTCCAGCATTTCAACCACACGAGCCATGCTTGGCCTAAGCCTAGCTCTCTCTTGTATGCACAACAAGGCTACACAAACCAATCTCTTTACCTCCCTCTCATCAATGCCTCCACCTTCTACAAGCCTGTGATCCACCACTTCCATAAGTAAACCCTCTCTCAGTTTCTCACCCACAATCTTTGGGAAGTACTGAAATCTTCTTTTAGATCGATGATTGCCATTTTCAATCACGCAGACATTTCTCCGGCCTCCAACGATCTCCAAAAGCACCATTCCATAACTATAAACATCAGACTTCTCAGAAATTCCATGTTCCAAGAGCCACTCAGGGGCCAGGTAACCTTTAGTCCCCCTAATTGTTGTCACTACTCTGCTCTCATCTTTTCTCATTAGCTTTGACAGTCCAAAATCTGAAACAAGCCCGCGATGATTTTCATCAAGAAGTATATTTTCGGGCTTGACATCAAGATGTAAGATTCTTGACCTACAATCATGATGCAGATAAGAAAGTGCCTTGGCTACATCAATGGCAACTCTATATCTCAAGTCCCATGACAAGCATCCACCATTTAGGACCCTGTTTGGCCTCGGAGGGAAAATCCAATTATCCAATGAACCATTTGAAATGAAGTCATAAACAAGGAAACGAGGCCCTGTGGGAACACAACAATAACCAAGAAGGCGGACAAGGTTTTGGTGCTGCACGCTCGCGATTGCAGCAACTTCTGATCTGAATTCCTTCTCCCCACGCTCCTCTCCTTCAATTCGTTTCACGGCCACAGAAGTGCCATCACTTAGGATTCCTTTGAATACAGAAGCAGATGCTCCTCGGCCTAACAATGACTGGAAATCATCTGTTGCTTCCTCAAGCTCTTTGTACCGGAACTTTGTTGGGACTCCAGCTACTTTCCTTAGAAAACTATACTCAATTCGGAGCTCTCTGCCTTCTGAAACCAGCTGAGTCTCCAGCAATTTCTTTCGGCGATTGAAACGCTGTCTGAAAAAAATAAAAGCCAAGACAGCAAGAATTGCTGCAGCGTCAGCTCCGGCAATCAGAAAGAAAGCCTTGGAATGTCCGAGATAAGCTTTAGCAATGATGATCAAAACAATGAGAGCGATGACCAATGAAAGGCCAATTATGTTTGCTTTTCTGTCCTCCATCAAAAAAGCTTCATTGCTAAGCTTTTTTTAAGAATAGGAGAGGTCAATTACTTCTTCTTCCTGAGATTTCCATGTTTAAATCTTCAAAAGAAAAACCCAACGTTTGTTGTTTAATGTTCACTTTTCCAGGAAAGGGAGGGTGTCACATTCATGGGCATATTTAATTTTTGACTAAAATACTTATTTTTGTCTTCACATTGACCAACCTCTTTGGCTTACATTTTCTTTTACTTTTTCCCATAATCATTTCATTGATTTGGTCTGAGTCTTAAATTCAAATTATGTATCGAAGAAAAAGGTTATAATGAAAATTTCAATTGTTTCCAAGCGAATATCGATACATATAGAAAAATATAAATTAAAATTAAAAAAAGAAGAAGCTGTATTTGATAAATTAATTCAACGCGTATTTGAAAAAGGATGGCATGTGTTTGGATGAGTTCAATGCCCTTGTTGAGCAATTGGACTACCCAAAAGGAATATGTGAAAGGACTGGTCATCGTCTTGGGAAGTTTTAAAGATTTGACTAATTCAATCCCTTTTGGTTTGCATTAAAATATTTGGAGGTGACTTGAGCTTATCACAATATATTTATGAAGTTTGAAATGGAAGGTTAAAAAAATACTATATATTTTGTAAATCAAAGACCAAGTCTGCAAATATTAAGTAAATTGATATTGACAGAGCTGACACTCCACAACCATAGGGATCTAGACAAGTTTAGGACGAAAACTTCAATGCTAACAGGGCTGTAAGATAGCATGATTTCTGCTTTATCTACCTGGAGATCAATTATTAAATTAATTCAAGTGGATGTGAAAGATAACAAGTCCTGACTAAAAATTGTCAAGGCCAAGCATAAAATATATGAAAAATATGTTCTTTCCTATTCTTATTTTTTATTTTTATTTTTGAAAAAATGTTTGGTGCATGAAGTGGATATGTCTGACAAAGAAAAATTGAGTGTCATTAAAATTCACTTATTAAATCAAACATTTAAAGGAAATGGTTATACTTATAAATTAATGTATTTTTAAAGAAAATGTTGACATTTGAGCATGCAGAATGCAGAAAGATTCAATAAATGCTCTTCTCTAATTCTCAATTACACCACGTGTGTGTGTGTGTGTGTGTAGAACTTGCAATAACTACTAAGACTCAAAATAAATGGTACTTCCCATTACCTAAAACAAACCAATTGAAATCACTATGAACCAGCAAATTAACTAATAACTTATTTATTATCTCAGAGGGCAAAAAAGTAAATACCTTTGATATTTGAGTACTGTAAGTGCCTAGTGAGAAAAGAGAAGGGGCTACCCTGAGGATCCCAAAGGTGTTTATTTGTTTGACATGATTGGGGTTGATGGATGGGTCCGTTTCTGATTCAAAATGGACCAATTTGTGTTCCTAGCAGGTTACACAGGCCGGTCAAGATTGGAGCTTCATCAGTACAGCTCTCACCCTATGCGGAATGTTGAGAAGGGAAGGGAAGCTCTTAAGGCCTAATTTTGACATTATTCTAAGGACTAATTTGACGTGGTTGAATAAAATAAAGTAAGAATAGAACGAGTCAAATAATGAAATGAGAATTCCTATGTTTGGTTGCATAGAAAAAATCATATTTTTGTAAAACATATATATATATATATATGTATGTGTGTGTGTAGCCGACATTTCATTAATTGTTTTTTTAGTCATTTATTTATTTAATTTTTTAAAAAAGTGGGAATGAAATGCCGGAATGGTCATTCCTTTAATTGGAAAGTGAAATGAAATAGTGGGAATTACCATTCTCGAAAAATAGACAAGAAAGTTACTTACCAAACTAAATAATGAAAACAGAAGCATTCCATTCCCACTTCATTTGATTTTATTCACTCACACCAAAAATAGCCTAAGAGTAAACTGCAATTAACCCCCTTTACTTGTAACCTATCTTTGCGGGTTTTAAATTCTCTTTTAAATTCACCCATAACTTGTTAAGATAATCTCAAATTTGTTCCAATGGGGTGAAATGGGTTAAATTGATATCCTTACAAATGTGCTACTCCCTCCATCTGAAATTAAAATTCCATTTTGAAAACTGTGACTCACAATATAACTTGAAATGAAGAGAGTACATTTTTTTTTTTTTTTGGGAGAGAGGCTGATGCCTCTTCCAAATTATTCTCAAAACTTTATTAATGGTAATAATTTATAGTTCTTAATGAAAATTTTGTACAGAAAAATTAATGTTTGAACTCTAATTTTTTTTTTTTCAAAACTCTATTAATCGTAATTATTTATATTTACGAATGGTGATTTTGTGTATAAGAAAATTAAAGTTGGCCTTCCAAGTGTTTAAAAAAATTTCATTTATAGTTTACCTATGTATGGTAATTAAAGGTGGTTTGCAAAGGAAATTACACATGACCCCCTCAAAATCTTTAGTATTGCTTTTAAAAATTCCCTTCTAATAAAAAAAAAAAAAAAAGAAGTGTTATAATCATTGCTACAACATTTTGGTATATATATATATATATATATATATATATATATTTTGTTATGATTTAAGATTGGTTGTCTAGTGGTATTTCATCTCCTTTCAAAATGACCAATAATAATAATAATATATATAAATGAACACTCGACAATTAGTTAATCGTCTCTCAAATTCTGATTATTATTATTATTATTATTTTATTTTTATTTTTATCTCCTTTCAAAATGACCAATAATAATAATAAAATATAAAAATGAACGCTCGACAATTATAATAATCTTCTCTCAAATTTTTTTTTTCTCATCTCATAAAGTTATGCTCCGATCCCAAAATTTGTACACTTTTTTTATATAACAAGTTTAATTTTATATTATTACTTTAGTACATTTAAAAAAAAAAAAAAAAATTTACATATTATGAATGCCTCAAATAAAGATTTCAAACCCTGCTCTTTGTAGTGTCAAAATAATATTATTGCATTATCAATTTAAATATACAACAGAGAATTAGGCCATCTGCAGCAGGCTCGGGGATGCCTTTTTCCCTGAGCCAAATGGGCCAAAGTCACTCCATCAACCTTGTGGAACTGGACGAGGCCCACAGCAGCTCGCAGGATACCGCGAGCCCTAGCCCGATTGTGGTAATATATATATATATTTTTTTCCTTGACCAAAACGGTGACGTTTTGGTAAAGCTTTTTTTTTTTAAACGGTCAGGAATAGTGCCGAACGGTGCCTTATGCAGAATGGTTTTTTTTTTTTTGGAAAAACCAAAAAATAGGTTATTTTGAGCTCATTTTTTTTTTTTAAAAAATAAATAAATAAAAATTCATTAAATAAAAATATATTTTTTAGGCATTGTTTGTTCAAAAAAAAAATTTTGGGTCAAAAATAAATTAAAAAACCTTTTTTTTTTAAAAAAAATGCTTTAAATTTTAAATGTCTGCCACAAATAGTGTATTTTGCCGTTAAGGCACTGTTTGTCCAAAAAAAAATTAATTTATTATTATTATTTTGTTGGAGAGCGAAAATTCAAAGAGTCTGATGAATTGCCTGTTTTTTTAGAGAGCGAAAGTTGCTGACGTGGCTCTTGAAATTGTTTACGTGACTTTTGCAAAGGCAAAGTGACATTTTTGAAGAGGTTAAAATTCAGAGGGGCTAGTGCAAATGCTCTAAAAGAACAACTCAAAGCATAATTCATGCAAAAGTGTTGCAGGATGCGTATCAGCTCAGAGTTAGTTTCAAACATCGTCTTAATTTGACTTATAGATCTTGTACATAAAACCACTCTTTAATTCAACATGACTTAATTTTATATTTTTACACAATTTTAATACATAATGTTATTAAAATTAATTTAATACTAATATGATTAACTTAAAATAACATTAAATATCGACTATGTTTCATTGGTAGTATTACACCTCTCCGTGAGACTTATATCACTTGCATGCCCTGAGCCTTTAATTAAATTGGAAGTAACTATCAAAATCTCAACTTGCTTGCAAATGCTAAATATCAGATAAGTCAAATTAGAGCCACATGCTCTCTCTCTCTCTCTCTCTCTCTCTCTCTCTCTCTCTCTCTCTCTCAAAACCAGTATAAAAAAAAAAAAATTAAAAATTAAAAAAAAAATTATTTTAGAACACAAGGCATATTTCATTACGATTAAATGGTCAAAACTAGTTAAGAGGTGAATCTCAATACGATTTATCTCATATTAAATAGTCTAATTAAAAGATCTCATATTAAACATGTCTGACCCTTTTAACTACATTGGAAGCTAGTTGCAAGTAAGTATCAAAATCTCAACTTGTTGCAAATGCAAAAAAATCATTGAAGTCAAATCCAGAGCCACATGCTCTCGCTCTCATTCGTTTCATTTTTGGGCTCCGAAAGCAAAGCATTTCCTTAACTTCAGGCTTTGAACAAACTTGATGAGCTCAACACCATTCCATGTATGCACTTGATTTATTCACTCGTCACTCTATAAAATGTTTTGAAATCTGGCTTTTTGTTACTATCTTCTTTCTCTTTTCAATCAGCATTTTTCACTTCTTGTTGATCAGAATGTATAGATCATCAAGTAGTGCTCGAGCCTCTGATGAGTTTTTGGTCAACTTGTTGCCGGCTGCGAAGACACCGCCATTGGATGACTTGCCAATGTACAATCCCATTTCTGAAACCACCAAGAAACAAATTACTCCACACCTAATTACACAGTCAGGCGAGAATGTGATTCACCTTATCCCACTTGTTTTGCTTCTTTGTGCTTTTATTCTCTGGTTCTTCTCTACTTCAACTTAAATGTAATGAGCTTCAATAACATAATTCCATGCATTTCATGCTCTGTTCTATACTTGCTCCCCTTTTATTTTTTTGCTTCTCCTAATATATACATTAACATACTGTCAAATATTTGTCAATGAAAGAAGTTCAATCATTTTGTGTTCAAATTTTTTTTTTTTTTTTTTTTTTTGTTTTGAACAACCATTTATTGTTGGGTACAATTTCTTGTATTAATGTGCCCTCCCCTTTAGAGGATGCTTTGTTTGGTAGGAAGAGGGGTA